CTCTGAGGTTGCGCTTGGCTCGCTGCATGTGTGGAGGCTGAGGGACCTGGATGCATTCCTACTGGGTTTGGGTATCAAAGCCTCCCTAATGGGATACCTGAAGGTGTAGACAGAGGGAGGGGCAGGAACAACCTCCCAGATAAACTCCATTGTGTGGGAGGGTGGAGGCTCTCGGAATGGCCTCAGGAAGGAGTCAGGCGATGGCATGTTATCTTTGAGTAGCTGAGATACCAGCCTTCTCCCTGTCTAATGGAAGACCCTTTTAATGATCTTAGGGGAGGGAAGGGCTGTGCTTGTGCTTACTAGACACTGGAGAATCCACACAAGGGTGAGCTCTTTTGAATGCCCCAAGTGTTGCCCACTTCGCTTGCAACTTAGGTGTGAGAGAATCCACTCTGCAGACAAAGGTTGGCATCTTCTGGCTGTGATGCTTAGAGGTGAGGTCCTGGGCAGTGCTAAAGCCTTAAGAAGCATGTTAAGAGCTAAAATATTGTGGGCTTTATCCTATTAATGGCTGTAAAATGTTTGGATTTGAGAGGACTGGTGCCAGGTTTTAGGTTTTAAAGGCTATTTGATGCTTTTCTCAAGTCCCCAGCTATCTTCCCTGTGTCCTGCTATCACTGAGGAATCTCAACTCTCTTTTTGTGTGTTACCTTAGGGCAGTACATTTCTAGACCTCATGGCAGCACAGAAATGGTAGGGAAATCTTAGAGTATTTCACAGCCTAGAAAGCAAATGCAGGTCACCAAAAACACATCAAAAAGAGCAGGAGCTTGGCTCCTGGTGTTTTATCTTCACAAAGTTCAAGACGGGGGAGCTTGTTAGATGTTGTATTAAAATATCAAATCTTTCCAAGTTCTGGTCCAATCTGGCATGGGTTAACAGTGGAGCTGGGGTGTGAAGGCAGGGGTTTGCCCTTCTGTTTCTAAGCTTGTGCTACCGGAGGGGAGCTTGTGGGGGCAGCTCCAGTGGAGTTCAGTGACAAAGGGAATTGCTGTGGCAGCTGAGTAGCTTTTCAAAACATAGAATCCCAGAATGGTTTGTGTTGGAAGGCACCTTAAAAACTCCTCCAGCTCCAGCCCCTGCCAGGGGCAGGGACCGCTTCCACTGGAGCAGCTTGCTCCAAGCCCCTGTGTCCAACCTGGCCTTGAGCACGGCCAGGGATGGGGCAGCCACAGCTTCTCTGGGCACCCTGTGCCAGCGCCTCAGCACCCTCACAGGGAAGAACTTCTTCCTTAGATCTAACCTGAACTTCCCCTGTTTCAGTCTGAACCCATCACCCCTTGTCCTATCACTCCAGTCCCTGATGAAGACTGCCTCCCCAGCATCCCTATAGGCCCCCTTCAGACACTGGAAGCTGCTCTGAGGTCTCCACGCAGCTTCTCTTCTCCAGGCTCAGCAGCCCCAATGTTCTCAGCCTGGCTCCATACAGGAGCTGCTCCAGCCCCTGATCATCCTCGTGGTCTCCTCTGGACTTGGTCCAACAGCTCCATGTCCTCCTTATGTTGAGGACACCAGAGCTGCACACAGTGCTTCAAGCAGGGTCTCAGGAGAGCATGATACAAATGCGATGTGCCCAAGGATATTGCTGACAACCAAAGTGAGAGCTGCCATGGGGGATGTAGTAGGAAGCATCAGCACCAGCTGATGGTGGACCTGGAGAGCAGGAGTCTGACAGAGGTGATGGTGGAGAAGGGCTGGCTTGCCCCTGTGAATGAGGTACTGTTTGTTCAGCCATGTATGATCTGTGTTGCTCATAACCTTTCAGTCGCCAGCTCTCAAACCAGCTCCTCTAAAAGGTCCAGAGCTCAGGGGCTCTTACAAAGTGAATGAAAAAGGGGGAAAACCACATTAGTTTTTGTGTGTCACTCAAGTATGGGCTGGAAGAAGGAGTTTCCCTGCATGAGAATTGGGGAGGTCCAAATACTCTCTTCTCTTGCTGGGCCACAAAGTCAAATGTACTGAAACTTCCCAAACTGAAATACTATGGGAAAAATCAAGTTGAGATCAACACAAGTTTGCTTTGCCAGTCTTAATGGCTTTACTTTTGGTGCTTGATCAGCTTTTAGAAGTAACATCTTAAAATTTGACACTAGAATTTTTAATGGGATATGAAGTTTTCTTATAAAAAAATGATTAAATCTTTACCTATTTCAACCACTTTGAATGAGAAAACCTTTCCCTGTAAAACCAAAACCTCACAAACTCCCTTGTTCTTGCCAGCACATTCCGGTAAGTTGGCTTTTCTTATTTAGAAAAGAAGCTGGGGGATTAGCTCCTGCAGGAGATAATGCCATGAAAATAAAGATCCAAGTGTGCCGTGTCTTAACCACTGATAAATCTGTTTTTACCTTGGAGACTATTGCTGTTCCAGGGAACCAGTCCCCTGCTTTGGGTTGGAAGGGACCTTAAAGCTCCTCCAGCCCCTGCCACGGGCAGGGACACCTTGCACTAGAGCAGCTTGCTCCAAGCCCCTGTGTCCAACCTGGCCTTGAGCACTGCCAGGGATGGGGCAGCCACAGCTTGTCTGGGCACCCTGTGCCAGCGCCTCAGCACCCTCACAGGGAAGAGCTTCTGCCTAAGAGCTCAGCTCAGTCTCCCCTCGGGCAGGTTCAAGCCATTCCCCTTGTGCTGCCCCTATTAAAGCTGGAGGCTTTAGGGGCAGTGGGGCAGGGTCCAGGAGAGCTGAGGGGTTTGATCCCTTTTAGACCTCCCAGATCTCCTCCCTGCACCCAGCATTAAACAGAAAGGCACAAACGCAGTTTCTACCTCCCTGAACAATGTTTAGTGGCAATGGTACCAATCAGCACTCCCCCAAATGGCTGTGATGAGTTCAGCTGGTAGAATATTGCTGTGAAAGACAAAACTCAGGAGTAACACCCCGAAAACACAGCACACGTTAAAAAGACAGCTTAAAGCACAGGAAACCCAGCGTGTGAGAGCAGGCAGGCACCTCCACAGCCGGGTGTGTCACCAGGTTAACACCACCAGGCTGGGAGCACAGCGTTCAAATACAACTTCCCTCCGTGTCGCCCTCGGAGAGCGGTGTTCCCGCGATGCTCCACCAGCTTTCCCTCTCTCCTCTCCTTTCCAGCCCGCTCCTAGCTCGCTCCATGGCGGAGCGGAGGTGATGGATGGACGGACGGACATCCCTCGGCTGGATCCGCATCCATCGCTAATCCGCGCCTGCCTCCCCTTGGACAGGCCTGGCCACTTCCTTTCCCAACAATGCTCGGGTTTATCCCCCTTCTCCCGGGTTTGTTTGCTTTCCATAAAGCTGATTCAGCCTTAGAGCCCAGCGGGTTGTCCCGGCCGGCGGCGGCGTTCCGCATCCTGCCCCCAGCGCTGGGAATGAACCGGGATGAACCGGGATGGGAATGCTCCGGTGCGAGCCCCCATTTGTCATGTCTTAAATGGGGGGGGGGGCTTTTCCTATCGGTGCCCGGCCTTTGGAATGCGAGGCAGGGTGGACAACGGGAGCTGCTGGCACCAGGGCTGTGCTTCACGAGCGATACCCAAACACCATCAGCCCCATAGAGCGAGGCTGAGACCCTGGGGGGATCTGTGGGGGTCTCCGAGGTGGGGGGGTGCTGGCTGCCCCCGCACCCTCCCCTGTGGGATGAGGGGGGTGGCTGTGGAGATGGGGACAGGAGAGAGGGGGAAAAGCTGGGGGAGGAGTACATGGTGCCCCCCCTCTATGGGGACACCCTGGGGGGGGGGGCAGATGAGCCACTGACCCCATGGCACACCCTCTCTGCCCCCCCCCTCCAGCCTCTGTAACCCCCGCACGCTCCTGCTCCCCCCAGGCCCATGTGACCCCCCCTCAGGCTCCTTGCCCCCCCCAACCTGCCCGACCCCCCCCAAACCTCCTGTCCCCGCCCACTCCTATGTGACCCCGCCCCGGCCTTTTAGCCCCCCAAGACCTGCCCTGACCCCCCCAGGCCTCCTGCCCCCCACCCCTATGTGACCCCCCCACAGACCCGCCTTGGCCCCTCCCGTCCCTGTCCCCCCATCCCAGTGCAGGCCCCGCCCCTCCTTAGGCCCCGCCCCTTGACCTGCCCCCGCCCCCTCCCCGCGCTGACCTGCCCTCCCCGCCGTGCAAATCTCGCGAGACGCCGCGCGCTTTCACTAGTGCGTGTGTGTGTGTGTCCGTGTATTCACCAATCGAGCCGGGCCGGGCCGGGCCCTCAGCGCCGCGGGGAGGGGAGGGGGGGAAACACCGGCCCCGGCCCCGGCACCTGCCCGCAGCCCCCACACACCGCCCCGCGCCCTCCCCACCTGACCCCGGCACCGCCGCCGCCCGCCGAGCCCTCCCCCCGGGCCTTTGTCCTGCCGCGAGGCCTTGCGGCTGCCCCCGGCCTGCGCGCACCCCGGCCGGGCGAGGTTCCTTACGCGAGGCCGGGGATCCGCGGCCTATCCATCCCTTTTCCACCCCCCATCTCCATACCCGCCCCGTCTCCCTTCCCCGCCCCGGAGCCGGCGAGGGGCGAGCCCCCACCTTCCCCCCCTCCTGCTGCCGCAGCCCCCCCATCCCCTCCGCCCTTCTCCCCCGCGTGGAGCCCGGGTGCCCGCAGCGGCGGCGGCGTCTGGCTCAGGAGAGGCCGCGGAGCCGCCCCTGGCCTCCCCCTCCCGCCCGTGCCGCCGCTGCTGCCGCCGCAGCAGGTTCCCTCCCTCCCTCCTCCTCCTCCTCCTCCTCCTGCTCCTGCCCCCGGCGGCGGCGGGATCCGAGCGGTGCCCGGGGAGCGCTCGGCCCGGGCAGGAGGGGAGAGGAGCAGCAGTAGAGGCGGCAGCGCCAGGTGAGACAGCCCCGGGGCGACGGGGGAAGCGCGGGGACCCCCCTTCGCCTCCCGCCCTGGTGCCGAGCCCGAGGCCGCCCTGGGGGCGGCGAGGCCGGGGCGGAGGGGGGGGTGGCGGTGGGTGGGTCGGGGGAAGCCGGCAGCGACCCTGGGCCGCGGGGGCCGCGGGGGGCGGAGGCTGAGAAGCGCTCCCCGGCGGTGGCTGCGGCGGGGCCGGGCCGGGGTCACGGCGGAAGGGCCCGAGGCCTGTGCCCCGAGGCGGCGGGAGCGAGGCCTGGGCCGCGGGTGGCCGCCTCGCCGGGGCACGGCTCAGAGCAGGCCCCGAAGGCTCCAAGCGCGGCCCGGCCCTGCGGGCGGGGGGTAAGAGCGGGGTGGGGGCGATGGGGGGGCCCGGCCTGGGAGCCTTGGGGCGGCGGGGGAGGTGAAGGGGCTGGGCACGGCCTGTGGATCCCCGGCCTGGGAGTTGAGGCGGTGCTGCCGGCGGTGCCGGGGAGGAGGAGGAGGAGGAGGCAGGCCGAGGCGGTGCAGCAGCTGGCAGCGGGGCAAGGCTGCTCACTCACCGGCTGGTGTGCAAACGCCTGCCTCTTGTTCCCCGTAGTGGGGAAGGGAGCCTGGGACAGAGGAGCCGGGGAGGGCAGGGAGAGGGGGCTCGGGGCAGCCCCCAAAGGGGAGCTCGGCCCTTTGGAACTTGTGGCAGCCCCTTCCCCAGACCAGCATCGCAGCGATGGGATGTGATTCCCTCCTGGATGGTTGCCCTCTGTAATGGGGGAAAGACCTAGGAGCACTTTAACATCTTTGCGTTCATGGCTCGTCTGTCATTTTCCTCGGTGCACAGATTTCCTGTTTTGAAAACTAGGCTGCTGGCTTTGATGGGGTTTTAAAGCCCAGATTACAATTACGTTTCTCTAATAACCACATTTGGTATCCCATTAGTTTGGGAGGCTTGTTGCTGGTTTGGGGGAGCAGTTGTAAATGCCCCCTGGGATGGATTCACTTTGCCCTCCTAGAACTTACATCTGCAGGGTTTGGAGGAAACGGCAGGGACAAAATGGACAGTTAATAAAAGGAACAGTTGTACACTGCCTATTCTAGGGGGCACTTGCTGCCCTTCAAGAACTTTCCTCATCGCCTCTGCTCTTTATGCAGAAAATCTTTATCTTCTCTTTCCTTTTTTCCTCCCTATTTTTTTTTTTCCTTACCTTAGTCCAGAAAATGAAACTGGAACAGACATTTCTGGAAATGAACTTGATTGGTGCAGTTGGGAAGATGTGATTCACAGTTATAATGAACATTGAAATTTGGCCCATTTTTTATTCACGGTTCAGGCTTGGATTTGTACATTTCTTCATTTTTAACCTGTTTATACTGATTAAGGGTTTTTTTTTACAACCCTTCAAATAATGGCATTTCTTGTGTTGGATTGCCAAGAGGTACCCCAGGTACATGTAGTATATAGGAGCAGCTGGTTCACTAAAGGTGTCTGATGCTTTGCTCTAAAAGCTTTAAACAAGCCTTGTTTTCTTCTAATCCCTTTCTGTGTTTGGAAGAACTGGAGCTGTTGGTGAAATGTGGAGTTCAGGAAGCTCTAGGATTTCCAGGATTGGCCAAAAATAAATGATGGGGTAACGAGCGCTGCTTCATTTTTTGCCCTCCTCGTCATGCAGCATGGATGAAGAGCTCTGAAGGTTTTAGTCCTAAGACTCTGGTCCCATGTTTTCCTTTTAATAAAGCATCCAGTGGGAGAAACACAGCATAATTGGTTTCTTGGATGTAGAGATCTTGAAATGGCTGGTACAACAGATAGGAGAGGAGGCTCTCCAGCATGGTTACGGTTTAAATACAGTAACATGGTGGAAAAGTCATGTTATTATTGCACAGTAACCTTGCTTTTCTCTGGCAAGAGAAATGCTTTCTACGTGGTTGTGCTGCAGAACAGGCAGTCTTGAGCCTCCTCAGTGGCACAGAATATTAAATCTCTCTCCTTTCCTTGCATTGCATAATCTGAATGTTGTTCTCCCGTAGCAGCAGAAATGATGGAAGAATTGCATAGCCTGGACCCACGAAGGCAGGAACTACTGGAGGCCAGGTTCACTGGAGTCGGGGTTGCTAAGGTGAGTGTAAGTATCTCTGGTTATGGGCATGACTGCTTGTCCATCCTGCGCTGCACTGTGGTGCTTTAATCTACACTGATAGTTTTGCTTTGCTAGCAGAATGTTTTATAGTAGTAGTTGTGTTTTGACCGCTAACTTGCTTGAAGTATGTTGAAGAGGAACGAAAATGGGATCTCTATGAGCAGACGTTTTACTATACAGAAGATTTTGGGTTCTAATTCAGTTCTTAGGAGTTGCTCCATCTTAAGACAGTGTGTACACCCGCCCCAAAAAAACCCTGTGGCAACTTTGTCTGTGGAAGTGGGAACCTCATCTGTCTCCTCCTTTCTCAAAGGCGGCACTCTAGAGCTGAATTTGGCCACTTGTTAGGTACAGTTTCAAGTGCACTGTGTTGGATACACCATGTAACCAGACATAATATATCCAGGAATTTGTTCAGTTCTTTGTGGGTGCAGTGGGCTAAAGTTGTGTACTTGGTCTCATAGAACACATACACAACAAAGGACTTGACGGTGAGCTCTTCTGTCTCTGTGACCCACAACCTGCTAGTAAAATCCCATCTTTGTCCTCACATACAACTTCCTAATTGTTCAGCAGCTGCCTTTCTTGGTTGAGGCACTTAACAACAACACAGTGTGGTTGCTTGATATATTATTGATTAATAATTAGCTGTTATTTCTCCAGATGTTGTTGGTAGCATTAATTGATAGTCTCTGAGCAATGAAATGGTGGCAGAACTCATCATAAACTAGGTCAGTGATAAGGAGTTGACTTTTGAGGAAGATCCTGAGTTTTGGGCAATATCAAGGTCGATGGTGAAACACTATATCCCTGAGAGACGATATTCAGAAACCTCTTAGAATTATTTGGAGAAGGAACTTTGTAGATGGAAAGCAAATCAGAACTTGAAAAAGGGTTTTGTTTGAGTTCGTACTTCTCTTTCTGCACTTCAGGCAGGACTCAAACAAGGTTAAGGCTTGGAATGAAGTGTAAGTAAAATGCTCAGCTGTACAAGGTAGTGTAGGAAGGAAGGTTAACCCTACAAGTTGTTAAGAGGTAACAATTTCAGTTACTGGGGTAAGGGGGAGGGTGATCTTTTCCCCTACTCTTAAGCCTTTAATCTTAAGGCTTTTACTAGCGTAAAAGTTTATGGTATGTAATGTATTTATGATCTTGAAAGACATGTTTTACACAACATTACCACTTTTAATGTACTTTTTCATCAGTTCCTTGTCTCTTCCCCCCCATGTATGTCACTTTAACACCCTTAGCTGTACCAGTATAGATAAAGCCAAACAACTTTCTAGGTTAGTTGAAACTTAAGCATAGATGCTGTTGTTGCTTTAAAACAGTGCCAACATACTCAGCACTCACAAAGAATTTTAGCAACTATTCCTTTTAAAGGAATAACCTTTAAAAGATACAGGAAAGCAAGTCTTAATTATGTTTTCAATATGTTTGGAGCAGAAAGTACATGCCCTTTCTGTGTATGGATGAATATTAAAAACTCATTTTTGTTTCTAAGGCATAGCCAAGCAAAAAAGCCTCATTTCTTGGAGGCTTCACTTTGAGCAAAGCTGTTCTGTTACTGAGTTCTATTTTTACCTGTTGTTATGCAGTATAGTGTTTTACTTTGTACTAGTCAGTAAACTGTTAAAGCACATTACACTTACTTCAGACAATTTCTATTTATTTACTTGCATACTTGGTAATTTGCAATAGATCAGCCAACCATTAATATTACATAATTAGCATGACTCTACTATGTTGCAGCAAATCTTGGTTGCAATATTAATCTCAGATACTACATTCCCTCCCAGGTTGGTGCTTCAAATTCCCTCCCTACCCCCCCAAGTCTCCGTCCGTCATGCTCCGCACTGGCATTGGTAGGTCATTGTCTTAAAGGGAATATATTGGGAAAGCTGTGATACAATTTGTATGATTCAACTAAGATTTTTAGCTCTCTCCAATGAAATGTTTAAGGGAAAGCTACGTAGAGTAAGGCAGTGCCATCTAGTGGGACCGGGCCTGGCACATCCTCCTGGGATAGAAGGTATTCTGTTGCTGTTTATTGCATAAAAGGAAGAAATGTCATCTTAGATGCTCTCCTATTGGGTGAAGGCAGCAGGCAGTTGTAACTGAGCTTCCTGCCTTCCACTGACTGGGTGGATCAGTGTGTTTGGTTAGGTTTCTTTAGTGCTTAAAAACACAGGCTGTATTTTGGACCTGCATAAAACTAACGTGCTAGTTTACAATCGTAATACAACTGTAGCTTTAAAGCCCACTTTATAAACATAATTACAGGTGTTTCTGAGAAATGAATGAGACTGAGCTCATCTAGAATAAATTTTTAGATTGGAAACTATTAAAAAGCTGGAGAGCGATGGGATTCTGGAAGAGCTTTTCCAGTAACAGTAGCAGAGGACAGAAACCTAAACTACTTTAGAAACGGCTGTGCTGTGTCACCTCTTATGGTAGCTGAAGGCACAACCCAAAGACTGAGGTCGTTTGCAATCCCCAGTGCCTCAAAGTGCTGGTGCAATTCTGTGATGAATTATCTTCCTTAGGAGCTGGAAAAGATATTTCTCTAGAAGCTTGGAGTTAATGCATGGAATCAAATTTATGAGCAAGGAATGTTTCTAGGCAACTGCTAGACTCATGTGGTTCATCCAGGTCACTAAATAGCTTCAAAAAGCCAGTGATGCTTTAGATGTCTATTCTTGCCATATGGTAAAGTGCCATTCTTCCTCAAATTTGCAAAGCAAGTCCTTGAATCGACATGTGACTCTCTGACACCTACCAGTATTTCTGCTTATTTAGCTCCTGTTTCTGTTTACTTACTTGGGGAAATCTAAGTGCATTCACTTGAGGTTATTCTGACTAGCCATACCAGACATCTTCCTTGGGTCAGTAGGTACAGAACACAACACACACAACACGTAGTTTGTTTCTCTAGATAATATTGTTTAATTTGGTCTGTTCTTATCTTCTGCCTCCCTTCCCCCCGTTTGGGTGCTGCCTTTACAGTATCAGGTGGGTTAACTCCAAAGGGGTTTTGTCATTTCCTCAGGCTTTTTTGTGGATAAGAATTGGAACAGGTAATTTGTGATGGGTGACTCTGTGTTTGCATGTGGCTTGTCTCAGGCTTAACCAGGGTGGATCATCACAAAAGCACATCTATCTTTTACAAGTGTGGTCTGTAAAAGATCTCTAAATTAAGTTGTGTTATTATAGCTAAACTGAAAAGGCTGAAGTATTTCTAGAGAGTAACCTTTGTCATGCTGTAGGAACCATGTTGATCTCCATTCAGATGACCGTGCTAGAACTGAAGAAGCATTGGTCTTGGTGGTAGCTAATCCTCCCTTTCCTCCTTTGAGGTATTGTAAAGGGGGAAATGAAAATAACTTGAAGAGCGTCACTTATGTTGCAGAGCATCTGCCTCTAAAAAAGAGCTGCGTTTATCTGTATTATTTTGGGGTTTACCATTTCTCTCACTCTAGCAGCCTGGCTCAGCTCAGTAACTACCACTTGTGGGGTCTACTTAGCAACACTTTTAGCAGCAAATTTACCGAGTTGAGAAGTCATGTTGAATCATTATGTCTTCCTTGGAGGAAAGTGGTGCTGCAATGGCCATGGTCTTTCGTAGGTGTCCCTTGCCATCAGAGCTAGTTAGTGAGAGTTCTGAAACTGAGGTTTGAATTGATCAGCCACCCCAGAATGTGCCTGGACTTTATGCCAGATACTTGAAAATTGCTTGGATGCTTCCGTGTGCAACATTACTTCTTTCAAATGTGCTCTCTGGCTGCTAGAGCCCAGACATAGTTGCCAGGTCTCAGCTCTGTTTCTGCCCCTGAACTGAGGCTTGGGGTGAATTGTGTGACCCTCCAGTTCAGTTTGCCATCGGTAAAGTAAAATACTGTTTTTCAAGTTGAGAGAACTCTTGAGATGTGATGGAAGCCAAGTAAATCCTGTTGCAAATCTGCTTACCCATCTGATACAGTGGAGGTTACCTGTGAACATCTGAGAGCAGATTAACTCCTCACGGCAAAAAGCCCTGCGTGACTTGGGGGGTTTGTTATTGGCTATACCACTGAGCTTTTCTGAAAGCCCAGTTAAGCAGCAGGCTGTAATTCTCATACTCACATGATGCTTGAATAAGAGTATGTCAATTAAACCTGTCTTACACAGTAGCCCTGAACCAGAGTGAGTGGGAAACCATTTCGCTTTGGTGTAAGCCTGTGTGGAGTGAGCACTAACTTTTAGTGGAACTAAGGATTGCCTTTTTCCCTTTGAAATCTCTTGATTTGCTACAGACTTCAGAAGAACTCAGGTTACCTTGGCGTGAGGTAATGAAGCATGTCTCTGCCATTTAGTTAGCAAGAGGATTTTGCAATGCATGTTGCTGTAAGTCCATGTTGGAGATTCTGGCTAGGCAGCTTGAATTCCTAGAGCTCCCTTTCAATCCAGGGAGTTGGAGAGCACAAAATGGAGACTGCCCAACAGAAGAGTTGCTGACAGGCCTGAAGGATCATTTTGGGAGCTTGGAGAGGCTGAGGGAATGCACAAGTCATGCAAGGCAGTAGATAGATAGGCTTGAACAGGAGATGGGTAAGAGCAGGCTGTGTCAGGCTGGCTTTTCTATGGGAGATCCAATTTGAGCTATTATCAGACTTGGTTGTTCCTATTGAGACTTCAGTCATTGTGCCTCATTTGTGGCCTTTCCAGGGCTCTTGCAAAGGGAGAAATGACTAACCAGCTCTTGTGAGTGGACAGATTCTAAATACTTGCCTTTGAGTAGGAGTCTTGAAAGCGCCTGCTGCTGCTGCATCCACTTCTCGACATGGAGGGTTTGTTGTGCATAGGTAGGTCACGGACTTAGAAGCAGCAGTTGATAGGTGAATCACAAGGGAAAAGAGCATGCCTGCTTATCTCAGAAAGAAATTCCTTGCGGAGGAGGAAGTGTGTGCTGTTCTTGTGCTTGTCATTTGGGTAAACACTATAGAAACTATTAGCTGCTTCCAGATGACCCACGTATTCTGCATTTTTTGCTGAGCCCCATCACCGATTCTCTTGACAGGGTACAGTGGATGAGTGGGCTGGAAGTGATAGCAGAGAAGTACAGTATTATCCCCAAGTAGACGGTGCTAGAAAAGCCAGATGCCAGTGCAGATGACTTCTTCTGGAACAAAATTCATAAGCCCTTTCCTGTGTAAACTATTGCATGTTTATTATTCCTAACTGCTGCCTCCCTGGCACTATTCTGATGGTGTTCTGTATTCTTTGCCATTGCTTACATATCATTTTTTCCCCAAATTCAGGTTCATTCCTTTAATTCCTTTTGTGTCATGACCACTTTAAATGGGATGCTAAATTAAGGCCTGCACATTTATCCAATGTCAGTTGCTGAGTTAAATATAAACAGTCAGGAATGATAAAACATCAATTTGAAGGGGTTTTTTTTTATACACATGCTCACTGGCTGTTAGTTGAGGGGGAGATACTCAGATGGATGTTTTCTCATATCCATTGTCTAAACCTGTTGCTATAAGCAGTTGATAACGTGAGAAACTAGGAACCTAGCTGGCTTATCAGGAAAACTTGCCTTGCCTTCCCCTTGCATAACTGTAGGAGAAGAGAGGTGCACCTGAGAACTAGACCATGCTCCTTAAAGATCCTGGGTATTGCATCTTTACTGCATGTTCTGCTGAACAGTATTTCTGTAGCCAGATCACCTCAAAACAAGACCTTTTTTTGCCAACTTTGACATGAACAAGATGCTTCAGCTCCTTGGGTGTAAGAGAAGTCTAATACTGTGAGAAAAGCATCAGTGCAAGGCCCTCTAAAAAGTAATCGAGGGAAAGGAAAGCTCATGCAGTGGAAATGAGTCAAAACATGTCTACAAAGAATTAATTCTGCGTTTATGCACAATATCAATACACATGACTGTGACCTTGCTGGATACTTGTAGACAACTGAAAAGCTGTTCTTTCCTGGTTCTATAACAGAGCAGTTAGCTCCTTTTCACCCTTTCGACTACTGCATTGAGGTCGATTTTGTGATGTTAGTGTCTAGAGGAAGTTTGAAGTAAAGGGAAAATAGGTTTCTTTGATCTTCCAGGATCTGTGATCAGAACTGAACTGCTCTTTTGTTGATGTGAAAAATGGGATTGATTCCAACTGCTGGAGCTGGAGGTTTCCCACGCAGGATAGTCAGTACAGGTAGTTGTGGTACTGGAAGTAAGAAGACAGAGTGGATTTTGTATTGGGCATTTTGCCAGCTGCTTGCATTCCAGAACTTTACATTCAGATGCAAAATTAGTGGATTTTTTTTTGGTACTAGAGAGGATAAACTTGGATTCCTAACTATAAATGACTTCATCAGTTTATCTCTTCAGGTGACCCTAGAATACAGCTCCATTGCTGAGATATTGGCCCTTCGTAAGCCACTGATGTATCCTGCCAACCACAGTGTTCCTGAAAAGCTCCAATGTGGCATTTTGGGAGCAGCTGTTCCTGTCATTTGCTATCCATGTGTAACATGGAGGCAGTTGGGTTTAAGCAAATGTGGGAACAACTTTCACTTTAATCTTCAACATGTCAGAACCTCAGCCTGTCCATCTGAGACCAGCAAATGCTCCTGCACCTAATAAAACTTTCACGCCTGCACAGAAGGTTGATGTCTAGGACATACTGCTCAGGTCTGAGTTCATGAGAGGAACTGAAGGAATTTAGAGGACAGCATTTGTGCAGTTTATAAACCAGCTTTTTACATGGGTGAAAAGATTAACTTTCTGTTGCTGTTTGCCATAAGATATTTGTTACTCTCTTTTTATCAATGAGGCCTTCGTGTGGTTGTCGCTAAGCTTAGTGTTGACACTGCTGATAAGTCATGTTGGCCGAGGAATAAATCCCTGAATAACCCAGAGTTCATAGAATCCCATACTGGTTTGGGTTGAAGGAACCTTCAAGCTCATCCAGTTCCAACCCCTGCCACGGGCAGGGACCCCTTCCACTGGAGCAGCTTGCTCCAAGCCCCTGTGTCCAACCTGGCCTTGAACACTGCCAGGGATGGGGCAGCCACAGCTTCTCTGGGCACCCTGTGCCAGCGCCTCAGCACCCTCACAGGGAAGAGCTTCTGCCTAAGAGCTCAGCTCAGTCTCCCCTCTGGCAGGTTCAAGCCATTCCCCTTGTCCTGTCCCTACAGGCCCTTGTCCCAAGCCCCTCTCCAGCTTTGCTGCAGCCCCTTTAGGCACTGGGAGCTGCTCTAAGGTCTCCCCTTAAGGAGCCTTCTCTTCTCCTTGAACAAGCCTGGAGTTGTACCAGTCATGTTGGGTAGTGGGGAGCTTGCTTCTTTGTTGAAGAGATGAAGTAAAATATCTTTCTGGTCTTGAGCTCTTTGTGCGCTGAGTTGAAGGGGTAAGAGATGGCTTAAAGAGTATAAATCTGCAGTGTTTCTGAGAGTTTGTTGCTTTTAAAATGGAATCCTAAATGTGGAGCTTCTTGAGTTATTCAGGTGGTGGTTGGTTGTTGGTTTGTTTGGGTTTTGTTTGAGTTTGGTTTGGGTTTTTTTCTGTTGAAGCAGCTAAGCATGTCCTTTTAGGAGAAACAAATGTGGTAGTTAACAGTCACAGTGTCCTGCAGGAGGTAAACAGGACTGTTCCTTCCTGTGGATGCCTGCTTGGAAATTCAGATTAGTAACAGCTAGCTTGTGTCACAAGTGTAATTTGGTGGTGGTGCTTGTGGGATTGAAGAACTGCTCCCCTCACAAGTAATCCCTGGGATTTCTCTGTGGTGTTAAGGCCTCTCCCCACCCCTGCCGTAAGTTTTCTACTTCAGTATATGATGATAAAGTGGCTTTGCCTTCAGGAAAGGTTGACTGGTGGGAAGTGGTAACCACAAAAGTAAGAATGCAAAAAATAGACTGATTTTTTGGGGAAAGATGCTCACAAATCCTTAATGAAGAGGTAGCTTTATTGTGTCACTATTCCAGGAGTAATTGTGTATCTTGTTTTTCTATCTTTGTCAAATTCCTCTGGATTTCTTAAGTTAGATCTGTAGGAGGCCACTTTTGTGTCAGAGCACTAGGCTAAGACATGGTGACTTTGCATGATTCACTTTTCTTTCCTTTTAAGACCGGTTTTGATGCAGATCTTAAATAATCTTCAGACTGCTTGGATATGTAGAAATGCGGATGTGTATCTAGTAGAGCCTGTGAAGATGCAGGCAGATGCTTGTAGGTACCTGGATGCTACATTGGTAAATCTCTTCCAACCTCTTGAATTTGCACTTTAGCCTCGTAGGAGCAGCTGTGTAGGTGTTGGCAGGTCAGCCACAGGTCCATAACATAGCCTAGTGGGAAGGATTGTCTATGGGTTCACTTGTTCACTTTCCTAGTATTAAAGAAAGCATCAAAATTACGCATTGAAAGAAAAATCAGTGGCACTGCCAGCATCTGATAACAGTAATAGCTGCTTTGCCAGATGGAAGATGCCTCTGAATTCTTAGCCCAGGTTCAAGCAGATGCTTGCCTGAAGAGCTGGGCTTGGAACTACCACTCCTCAGCAAATCACAAGCTTTGTTTCTCCAACCAGTTGTCTTAGACTGCCATGAATACTGCCTTAGCTCTTTTGTGGACGTCATTAAATTGAGCAGTTGGGATAGAAATTGATACAGAAATATCATTGCAAAGGCTGGATCTGTATACAGAGAAGAGTCTGTCCAACTTGCAGTCCAGCCTCTGTCTTGCTCCAGACAGCTGCTGAAGTTTTTAGTGCTGCCCCATCCTGTGTCTAGGTACTTACCAGTGTTACTCCTGTATCCATATGATTTAGAGCAGTGTAGTTAGCACAGAGATGCAGTGTTTGATAGGACATAATCTGCCTTGTGTCGAAGTTGTTTCTAACAGTCTTTGCTTGTTTTTCACTAGGGTCCATTAAATAGTGAATCTTCCAACCAGAGCTTGTGCAGCGTGGGTTCTCTGAGTGATAAAGAATTGGAGGTAAGCAGGCACAAACCCTCATGGTAATCGGGCTTAAGGTGGAGATGATTGAACTCAAAACCTAGAAGGAATTGTGTGATAGTGAGTGACAGTATTCCTCCTTTGGGGTGTAGAAGGGACTAGTGGAAGTATTTAGTCTGGATCTTACCCCTCCAATCTTTGGGCCACACTATGAAATGGTTCTTGAAGCTCACCACAGATTTTACCCAACCCCGATAACACAGCATTTGTAAAGCTCAGCTTAGGAAATTGTTTTCAGCTGTGTTGTGATTTGCTTGCTGGCTTTGGATATGCTTTGGGCCAAATCAAAACCCAGAGAGCATTAATGGAAAAATTTGCCTTACCTATCAAATATGTGAAGTTGCTGAAGTCTGGACTAAGAGGAGAGCATTTTTATGAATCGCTCTCTGTAAGTGTGGGGAGGTGAAAATTTATGCTTTGTCTCTGTTTAAGCTCACTGCTTGAGGATTAACTGCTTTGAAACGCTTGCTAAAGCAGCAAACTCAGTTGTAGAGTTACGCTTTTACTTCGTAATTCCACATTAATAAAGCAAAATCTCAACTTCAAATACATTTAACGAACTTTCTGCATTGTTATCAGGTAAGTTTGGGGTCATATTTCCCTTTATTACATGGCAGTACTGGTATGAGGTGTCTGGTGAAGCTAAGTCTTTTAAGAACGCAATATGTTAAAATCCTTGCAAGTAAGTATAGTTAATAGTGGAAAACTGAGTATTTGTTCTTCTTTTACTTGGGGTTTTTTATGCACGTCTGTGGAGTGATTTGAACTGACCGAGCTGACATAATCAAATTTCCCATTCCTTGTTTTTTCAGGCTGTAAGAGATAATTTTGTGTGTAATTTTTTGTTATGTAAGTACTTGAATGGAAAACACAACTTAAAATGAATCTCATTAATATGCTCACAGCTCCATGGAGGCTGTAATGGAGCCTGTGGTGTTAAGAGTCACGCCAACGCTGTTCAGGAGTTGCTCTTCACTATGCAGTGAGGAGGCTATGTCACCTCCTTTTACACATACAGGAGCTGGTACAGCAGGTTTCTAGATAGCTATGGAGTTTTTAGTCCCCTCATTCTTGCAGACATGATAGCCACCTTTGAACAGCCCCTTCATCCTCTTACCAAAGCAGTGACATGTCACTGACTGCCCAGCTGCTAACATGGAGATGTAGATGTCCAGCAGCCAGGTTGAGATTCTGGCTGTGTCAGCTTTATCCTTTTTGTCCTGCTAAAGGAGGTAGATTGATCTCTGTGCTTCCTGTGTGCAAGTCTTTTGGCAGAGATCTTTAAACAGGGTACTTTAGACTTTGGTTTCCAAAGAGCATGAAAGTTAGGTTTACCACAAACTTTCTGGCCATAGTTTTCCCTCCCCCAGAGCTGTGTTTTGCACATTGTGGTTTTCTTCCTGCCCCCGGGCTATAGTTTAGTGGTAGCTGCAGTGATTGTAAAGCATACAGCTCAGAAATGATTAGGGACCCTTTGGGATAAGAGATGTTTTTATAATGACGTTGGTGATGGAAATGACAAGGTAATCTGTCTTTCCAAAAACCTCAGTGGGCTGCTTCTAGTGCAGCGCTTCCTAATGGTTTCAGCAGGTTTGGCCACATAAGTGACCCTGGTGATGGGGAAAGCACCATGGCAGGGTCTCCTCCACTCTCACATGCGCTATATATTGTGCATAAATAAATCACTGTCCACTGGTAAGCTGCTCCTTGCGTCTCTGGTTGCTCACAGAAATGGCAGATGCAGCTGACCCTTGGCTTTCATGGGAGCAGATGAGGAATAAACCAAAGGCCAGGTGAATTGCAGCTTTCTCCTGGTTTGGGGAGATGTGCCTTGTTTTGTGTATGGTCGCTGTCGTGCACCAGTGACAGGATAGTTTTTGTAACCATGTGCAAAGGGCCTTGGGAAGAAGCATTGGCTGTATTGAATTGCACCAGTAGACTGTGAGTAGCCACTGGACTGCAAATTTGGATGTCTATACTCAAACCTCCTTGTACTCAAACTCCTCTTGTACCAGTACTATGATCACCCTGAAATGGTTTACACAGGCTTTTTGTAAGTGTTTGAACTTGTTCCGAAGTAACTGGGCAGTAGAGGCTGGTTTGCTCAGCTGAAATAGAGAGAAACCTGATTAACCTCACTGTTCTCTCCCTTCTGCAGCACATGTATGAGAAGGTAGCAGCTATTTGAGAGCGGTTGTTTCTTTAAGTACCAGCAGTAGAAATAGAGGCACCAGAGAAATGAAATGGCCACGGGGGAGATGGAGCAGATGATTGTGTTTTGGCATTTTTTTTCTGTAAGTCTTGGAATAACTGCAGAAATGTTAATTTTGAAGTATTGTTTAACAGACTCCTGAGAAAAAACAGAATGACCAGCGGAATAGGAAAAGGAAAGCAGAAGCCTATGAGACCAGTCAAGGTAATTCACCCTCCTGACCCTGCCTGTAGGAGTCCGCAATGGTTGGTAATCTGTGCAGTCAGTGTCCAAGGAAACGAATGGCTCTTCTCAAGGGTGTGTCAGGCAGCTTGTTATAAACTACGCTATGATGGTGGAGTTTTCTTCTGGGAGCCTTGTTATTGCAGGAAATACGCAGCTTATTTGCACAAACTCTTGCATTTTCATGGACAGACTGCCCAAAGGCTTGATATGGCTTCTCTGAAGTGTTGGTTTGGTCCCACGTCGCTACATATACAACAGCCAGACTTAAATACAGGCTTTCTGCCTTGCTTTCTGAGGCTTATGCCTTCTTTGGTAGAGTAAGTCCTCACCACAACAAATAGAGAACAAACTGTGCTCAAGTTATAAAGCAGGAAGTGCTGCCTCAGAGTACTAGGAAAAACCCAGTGTGTCCAAGTTCAGGTTTTCTAGCAAATGGGCAGATCTCTATTTCTTTTCAACAAGAAAGTAACAAGGATTGTGTTGACTAAACTGCTTTGATAATATTATAATAAGGGAGAAGAGCTAAGTTTTAATGAGCTGGTGTTAAACCACCACTAATGAACTCTCTAGCTCTTATGGGAATGCTTGTGAGTGACCTAATATGCAGTAATGTGCCTGATGGCAAAGGGGTGGAAGTGTCCTTTGCCCTGTCCTTATCTAGAATGAAAGGCTGGAGAACCTACACAACTTTCAATGCCCCTTTAGTGTTTCCTAAGTACTTTAGCAAAGTGCAAATGCTGTTTGATTGGATTTGACATGGTTGGAACTGGGAGTTAATTGAATTGTCAACTGTAGACCCTCCCAACAACAGAACAAGAGCTGTAACCCTGGGGCAGTCTTTTGTTGTGCAGAAGCTTTTGTTGTGGAAGGTGTTGCCCCTTTTTACAGGGAAAGGAGTGTCAAAACATAGGAGTAGTTTTAACATGGCATCATAACTTCTGTTCTTACTATTACAACTCTTATTTTCATCCTTTGTTTTTCCTTTTAGGAAAAGGCACCCCTAGGGGACATAAAATTAGTGATTATTTTGAGGTAAGCATCTTTACATTGTCAGATGTCTGGTGACTTCTGTTACTGATCCCTCATTGGAGTTATTGATTGATGATGTTGACCTGATGTGCTCAAGTGCAATTAGATCGAGGACATGAGATTTCTGGGAGCTGATTTTTCAGACAGTTGATAAAGCAAATTTTTAACACATAAATACAGGTTTGAGGTTGATTTCCACTGAACCTGGATCTGGGATGAGGATATCTCTTGAGTATCCAAACCTATTCTGATAAGTGTCCAGTGCTGCAAAAGAGCCTGCCTGCAAAGTCCTGATTCAAGTAGGAAGTTGTTGTCAGGGTTCCCTCTCCAGAAAAGCTTGCCATGGGATGCTGGTACCACCTGGGAGATGGAAACCCTCCCAGACCAGTGATGAACATCCTGAAAATCACTGTTCTTTTTTTGATTGTGTAGCTTATGAAGCTTTTCTGGGTCTGCACAGCCAAAAACAATCTTAAGTTTGTTCTTTATTTTACTGACTAATCAGAAATCAAGTCCTTATTGGTGTTTACTGTATGGCTATAGTTTGTTGTAAGTTCGGTGCACAGTGTGGCGCAGGAACATAAGGATTTCTGTACTAACTAGACCAGCTGCCCACCTGCTTACTTGTCCTACCTTTAGTGGTGACTGGCACTGCTGCTTCAGTGGGGTGTACAGTTCTTACCACTCCTGTGGTGCACAGTTAGAAACAGGGAATGGGCTTCATAATTCTATACAGTAAATAATAGATCTGTAGCCAAGTGTGCAGGTTTATATATTTTTGTGTTAAAAATGTACTCGCTGCAAATACGAATGTTTGTCTGAAGCACTTCTACTGTTAGTTTCGAAAACAGTGCATGAAATGTGAAGGTTTTCCTCTTAGCTTCTATGCAGTTTGTTTTTATGAGTCCCTAGAGCCTATAAGGCTTCATTTTTAAGATTGATTCATCTGTCTGTTAAATTTGCTTCAGTATAGTATCTCTGTGTAATTACTGATGAACAAACCTGTTCCTTTGGCCAGTTTGCTGGGGGAAGTGGCCCTGGAACCAGCCCTGGTAGAAGCGTGCCTCCTGTTGCCAGGTCATCACCGCAGCATTCCTTATCCAACCCCTTGCCGGTAAGTGTCTCCCTGGGGACAGAGCTGGTGCCTTGGCACTGATTGGGTTGGTGGCTGCGCTTCAGACAGGTAATAAAGGTTCTGAATAGAAAAGAAGTGTCTCTGAAACTGGTTTCTGGCAGCAAAACCAGGTGTCTGAGACGCTTGTCCAGTTGTAACTGATATGAATAACTGAGCTTAAAGCATGCAAGATGAATGTTTTTAGCATGCAGATAGATCATTGTCAGTACTGAAAGGTGGAACACACATATTAGTTATCTTGTTTTCCATTGTAGCTCATGAGCTTCTTCATAGAGAGGATATTGAATGTTTGCATGGCACTAGTACAATGATACTCTGATCTAGATTGGACCCTTTGGGTATACGGAAAACCGTGCCTACCATAATTTCGTTGGGAATGTCTTTTACTTCTGTTTATGTACATGCGACTCATAAGGAGCCTTAGCAAAAGCTTGTAAAGAAATGTGTGTACATGCACATCTGTTGCTATTTTTTGTTACATAATCCCCTTTTGCTGTCACAGCATTTCTGCAAGGTCTGAATGTGAAGAAAGAACCAGGAGTTACAAGGCATTTTAGCACAGAGCAGCTAAAGACACTGCTTTCAGCTAGCAAAGCCATATTCAGAAGCTCTGGTGTCTGAGCTCTAGTTTTGACCATTGCCTGGGCCCCTCTTTAAGTCTCAGGATTTGAGGGTCCCAAACCCACAGAGCAGTGTGGGAAAGGTTGGTATTCCAAAACTCAAATGCAGAGTGTTTCCTGATTACACTGTTCTGCAGAGACCTTTGCACAGCTCATGAATTTGTGCTGAACTAAACCCCAACACTGGATGCTGTGCTCAGAATTCAGTGTGTTGCTAGATTTTGGAAGCTTTGTAATGCTGCTTTAAGGGAGAGCTTCATGTATGCTTCTAGATACTTATTATGTGTTTAAAAATTGAAACAGACCTCATTAATTGAACAGCCTTTCCTCCTATCTTGTATTAATTCACTAATACATCTCTCAAAAGAGAAGTTCATGAAAGAAATACCATCTCTGGATGTTGCAGATGTGTGAGGGATTAGGGACAGTGCTTTATTCCAGCAGGTGAGATACCCTCCAGGTGTTCATCATGGGACAGGTAGATTCCTTCCTCTGGTGTCCTACACTGTGTATGTATTGAGTAGGTAAAAGGTTGAACAGAGTATTTCTCATGTGGTGACTACTGATGTTGCAGTTAGTTTCAATTAGGCCAGGTCATGTCTCTCCTTATACAGATGCTCTGTGTTTCTTATCTTCTGTTCTTTACTCTTGCAGCTGACCCTGTAATATTTGCTTATTCATAAGGAACTATTATGTGTGTTTTCAAGATCCTGTTCTTACAAACTGAATAGAAATGGTTAAGCCCCCCAAAAGAGGGGGATGAGAGAAAGTTGGAGAAGATTGAGTATTTTACCCATTACAGGTGGCAGTATGGTTTAGGAAGAGAGCAGAGTGTTAAAATGTCTTTCACAAACCTCCTCCAAACCTGTGAGTTAATCTGTACAGGACTGGAAATTGTCCGCAATCAGAACTTGCAGAGGAATTGTAATGGCTTCAGGATGTTACTTCTTCTCTTCAAATCTCTTGACTGCTTTGAGTTGCCTTGCTTCTCCTTTGATCAGAAGAATGATCTGCAGGTCTTCAGACTCTTGCAAGGTCGCTCTCATATACAAACATTCTTTTGGGGGCAGAAAGCACGCTCTTGACATTTGAAATGTTAGGCAGAAAATATGCTTCAGGTTACACTTTAGGTTGTTAAGGAAACACTGAAGCCTGACCTGACTGTTTGCTTTCGATGTGGCATATGCCTGGCCCACAGTTACAGCTTGGAAAGACTTTGTTAGTACCCAGTTTTAGCAGTGATGGGCTGGCTTTTAAAGCAAGGGCAATGAGTCTGAGTGCTGTAATCAATGTAGCTCAGGTGATTCTTGTTCTTACTGAACCTGGTTCCTGTATCAGTTGAAAAATGAGTCTGCTGCAGAAGAAAGGAGCTGGCTTTTAAGAGATATAATGCATGCTTAAAAGATTTTTAGTGCTTTGCTGATCTTATAGGAGATTGGTCCCAGCTATAACGACAGAAATGAGCTTGCGGTGATGCCTAGGTCCTGAACGTGGTTACATTGCTGACATTTAGCAGTTCTGACTCAGTTTACTTCACTGGAATGAACCTATGGTGACACTGGCTGCTCTAAAATGAGTCCTTAAAAAGCATCCCCTAGTATAATTTTGAATGCATTGACCAAAATCCCAACGCACTAAGGTTGTTGGATCTACAACCTAGTTTGCTCCATTGGCTCTGAAACCCATGTATCTGCAAAGGAAGAAGGGGTGTTAACTGACAAGGAATTCTGTCCTGTGTGTTCATTTGTTCCTTTTGTTTTTTTCTTGTTATTCTTCATCATCTTTTTGATGTCTGCCATTGGAACAGTCACTCCAAGGAGTCATGTTTTGAGTTATCAGATCCTCACCACGCTGCCTGCCCATTCCTGAGCTGCTGCTTCGCTGACAACAGTTTTGGCAGAGTCAGAGAATTGGTTTTGGTTTGTTTCTTTTTTAAAGAGGAAAGGGGGCCAAAAAAAGAGTTCATTGTATTTTTCTTGCCTGTGTTACAGCGGCGAGTGGAGCAGCCGCTCTATGGGGTAGACGGCAGCACAGCAAAGGAACCGCAGGAGGAACACTCTGCTCTGCCAACGCTGATGTCGGTGATGCTGGCGAAGCAGCGGCTAGAGAATGAGCAGCTGGCACAGAGGGGAGGTGGCCTCTGTTTTACTTTTGTCTCGGTGAGCAGCTCTGAAAAGATTGGAATCCTGAGGGATGTTTCTAGTTAAGGGATGGGGAACTTGCAGCTTTTTCTGCTCAAAGGCAGTAGTTCAAGTGCAGCCTGGTATGTTGATGGCCACCATCATCTGGTAAGTTCATCTTCTTTGAGAAGAGTTCTAGGTCCCAGGCTTTGCTTGGTTAATAAATGAGTTTTAACTTAACTCAAGCTCTTATGTAGATCAAAATAATAGCGTCTGAGAGGCTAATCTGATAGATGCAACAAAGCAAAAGAATGAAGTATTGTCTTGCTGTGAGAAGTGTTTGTTTTGGCCTCGCTTAATCTCAGCTGACATGAATTACATTAGGCTTTTAAAAGCTTTGTCTTTTAGCAGGTTGGGCCAGGCTTCCTGAGAAACTGACTCTTGTTTTACTGAACTAAACCTCTTGAGCATTCTTAAATCTTAGCATGAAAGTATGGTACCCAGGCCAGGCTGCACCTCCCATGTAAAGAGAAGGGTATCTGCATGGGCACTAGTGGTCATGCTGAGAAGCATATAACAATACACTAACTTTCTTTTACAGGCCCAGCAAGGCAGCCCATCTTCTACCGGATCAGGGAACACTGAGCATTCCTGCACTTCCCAAAAACAGATTTCCATCCAGCACAAACAGTCACAGGTATAGCTCACTAGATGATACATCTCTTGGATATGAGATTGGAGCTTGACGCAGCTTGTATTCCACACCAAAGGGTACTACTTGTAGTAAATATAATGTTTCCAGTGAAAACAGTAGTCCCAGCTGGGGCTGTAACTACTGATTGAAGTAAATCACTCTGAGCTTTGTTCCTGATTCTGTAGAGGATGTTTTCAGTTGCTGCTACTGGAATTGGCCCAATCTGTTACTGAGGTTTCTCTGTCAATATGGTGGGCAATTCTTCAGCCATGTGTGAATGTGCTCAGGAGAGGAATACCTTAGCCCTGGTTGTTTCAGTTCTGGTGCATCCTGAATGTTCTTCCTCCCTCTGCAAGTAAAGATGTAAAGGAAACCTGAGTGATAGTTGTGAATGGGCCTGTTCAAGCACTGGGTGCATCCATGCTGCTTGTAGTACAAAATCCACAGTCTGGCTGGAAGTTCTTTGACCTCTGCAAAGTTACACCCATGGAATAGTTTGTCTTGTCAAGCTGGAGCGTGATGTGTTCCTGTCTCTGCTTCTCAGCGACTTCACTGACATGGAAGTCAAGATGAGCAGTAGCTCTTTTGACTGTACTGCTGTCTGGTGCCTTTTTGATTCTCCTTGTGACTTGATGTCAAGATTTGCTTTTAGCTGTGTCATCTTCTGTTGCTTCTAAGGATGTTCAGCTTTATCTGCAATGCACCTTGCTTATTTCTTCTCCAAGTCTGCTTTTAATCTTCTGTTGATTTTCATCTCTGATTACTCTGTGACTGACCCTTCCCTTGAGTGAGTTTAAACCATCAGTTCTGTGTCAATCATTTGCTCACACCAGCCTGTGTCAGAGATGATTTTATTGCTGGGGGAAGTTCATTCTCCATTTCCCCAGCAGGTGGTACAAGCTCTTTGTGCATGAAGGACAGCAGTTCTGCTTCTGGGGATACCTCCTAGCTTAAGTCTCTGAGCTCTGCTGAGTCATCAGGGTCACATTTGTCATCTCTGTTGTTGTCTGTGAAGATTCCTGTTTCTTGCTACTGCATGGAGAATTCTTGTGTGAGAATGATGCCATAACTCAAGAGACTGCTAAAGGTGCCTTTCAATCTTTGCTGTCCCAATACTCATGCTTAGGATAGTGGTCCCACCTGAAGTGAGCAAGATGGTTTTATTCTGTCATGTGCTAAAGATGCTCACAAGGTCCATCTCCTTTGAAAAGGGTGAGATATTATCTGAGCATTCTTTCTGCCAATGCTCGGCTTCATCATATTCTCCAGAGTTTTAGATGTCGCATACATGTAAGGCAAAGAATACAGGAAGATGCTTGGCTGCATGATGAGGACATGCATATATTGTTTTTCCTTTCCAAGCCTGTTTGGAATTGATAGGATTAAGAAAAGTAATCTTCAGTGATTCCCAGTTAGACTCATTTCTGGCAATGAGAGGACCAAGTCAGCATGAGCATGGTTTCAATCAGTACTGTGGCCCTCCAGTGCTGTGGGGCAAGGGGAGCTGTGATGAAGTCACTCCTTAGAGTGAACATCCTGAAACATGGCTTCATCTGACACAGCACGAGCACATCTAGGCATTTGGCAAATGACAAAAATCACTAAAGAAACTCTCTGCTGCTTGGTTGAGGATGTGTAGAAGAGGTTCTCAACAGCCAGCCTTCTCATTGCCTTTTGTCACACATGCTTTCTGCAGGCTGTCGGGAAGCAAAAACCAAGTTAAGGCTCAAGTGAGGTAACCTGCCCAGGCCTTCTCTTTGTCTTTTGGGATTTAGGCTCATCTTGCTTGATGTGCAGTGCTGGCAGGTTTTGCTCTTTCCCATATCGAGCATATGTAGAGAAGCAATGGTCAGCCAAGTTTGTCTCTTTCTTCATGGGGTTAGCTTCCAGGCAAGCCTAACAAATGGGGAACAGTTCCATAGCAGCTCCATAGGTAAGCCTCTGCTGTAAGCCTCTGCTAACCCTTCTTAGAACCAGGGTAGCTGCTTGCTAGTCATAAATGTGACATCTGTGCAGTCATGGAGAGATCCTGTGTGTTGACTTGGCTGGTTTAGCTGCTGTGTTCATGTGCATGCTGACTTCTTACACTTTGCTTCCCCACCTATTAATGAGAGTGCTGAGTTTGAAATACTCCTCCTGCTAGAGAATACAGTACATGTCTTTTGTCTTCTGTTCCTGGGTATAACTCTCACTTCATTGGTGAAGGTATTTGAGATGTGCTGCAGCCCATAAAGCTTTCCAAATAGGTTTCACTCAAGAATTATGATGCTGCTGTCCCTTGTGGGCACTAATACATCAGTTTGTCAGAAACAAAGGCTTAATATTCCTGCTGTCAATCTGTTACAGGATTTCAATATGAAGACCTGTGTTTTGTGTCAAGATCTCCTTAGAGCCCCCAGGTCTTGTCTTCTGTCTAGCAAGTGGTTGTCCGTGCCCCTGAAAGATCTCATATATTTAATATTCCAGCTGAGGGTTGGGATTTGGTGGTTGGTTGGGTTTTTGAAGCCTTTTTCCTGTACAAGCACTGCAGGAAAGGACAGTGACTGCCAGAGACCACCAAGGAGTGGGCAGAACTCAATTATAAAGACAAAATTTGCAGGACATGGCGTATTGTGGCCCTTTACCTGTTACCAGTTTGTGTTCTGGTATTACCATGCAATAAGAAAATGAAGAATGGAGAAAGTTCTTCCCTGACTGCTAGGATGCAGGGGATCGGTTCCTTCTTCTTAGACCTAACTGTTGAGATCAGATGGGGTTACAATGCAATGTTACATGCTGACTATCTGGTATACTTGTTTTCCTTAAATGTGGTCTGTGGTGATTTTTTCCCTACAGTCTGACCTCACAATGGAAAAAATATCTGCACTAGAAAACAGTAAGAACTCTGACTTGGAGAAGAAGGAGGGGAGGATAGATGACTTATTAAGAGTAAGTATTTCAAGTGGGACAGCTCTTCGAAAAGATGCTATTTAAAGATACCTAGAATGCATGTGCCAGCTAGGCTGCAGAGCAGGACTTTGTATATGATTTGTAGAACCAGCTCTCACAAGGTAAAACAAAGAGAGTCAGCTCCACAATCAGCAGGAGAATTGTGTGGCTTGTGGCAACTCTGGACCTGTTTGAATCCACAGGGACTGTGGCTGTGCAGTGAAGCTGTAGCTCAAGTGTTAGTGCCTCAGCAGTGCTACACACCTGTGTTTTGCAGACTAACCTAACATGTTTCTCTGCGGAATTATTCCCCTCTTCTAAATACTTAGGAGCTGACTCTGCTTTTTGTTGAGCAGCATGAGTCTCAATGGACTGAGAAGTTGTATTCTGAAATGCCCATTCATGGGAGTCAGTGACACGTATACAGATAAGGAGAACATCTTTTGGTCAAACAGAATAAAGCTCCTCTTAACCCATTAGTATTCTTCAATAGAAGATAAAAACTGTTAAATCAAGGATCTTGTCTTAATGGACGAGTTCTAATTGATTTAGCTTTCATCAGCTGGAGAGGCATCTCTTGTGTAGTGTTGCAGAGGATTAGAAAACACATTAAAGGGAGAAGAGGGGGAAGGAAGGAGCTGTTGTGTTAGTGTGTATCTGGTCTCAGCACCTGAAAGAGCTGAGGCAAACTTGTACAGAAGCCCTTTGCTGTTTAATCAGCAACTAGATTGACTATTGGTTGTAAGGGGGATGGTTAGATTTGTCTTCTTAGTGAAAACAGTTGCACATAGAATCCTGCTGTACACTGTGGTGGTGTTAAAAACAGCAGCTGTTGCTGGGAGCAACCTGTATAGGGGGGTTGAGGGATAGTAACTCACATGAATTTAATTGAAAGTACAAAGGGAGTTACCCCATCCTTTTCCTCTGCCAGTATTGTGGCAAAAGAGCGAGGATAGATCAGGGGTGACTCAGCTGTTTTGAGACTTGGGAGCTGTGGCAAGGTCTTAAATGTTTAAAAACCATGAAAATTAAACACCTTTTGCTTGTGTTTAGTCTCTCTGTACTTTAGTGCCTTCTGTGTATATCAGGATGATGGCACTTCCCTGTTCTAGAGGGCTCTTAAGATTTGGATGGGTTAAAGACTGAAGAGCTTAGCTTGGATGTTTTCCTAAGGAACCTAGTCATTTTTTACCCTGCTGGTTTGCTTACTTTAATCTAATCCCTAGAGCTAACTGGAGAAACCTCTTCCTAAGCAATGCTTAGTTTGGCTCTTTGAGTGGTTTAAAGTCAAAGGCTTTTCTTCTCTGTTCACTTTTAGGCCAACTGTGATTTGAGACGACAGATAGATGAACAGCAGAAGATGCTGGAGAAGTATAAGGAGCGGTTGAATAGATGTGTAACGATGAGCAAGAAGCTGCTTATAGAAAAGGTGAGCAGGGAACTTGCCATATCTGCAGTCACAATTCACACCCTTGAAAACTTCTCTCTTCTTTTTAGCAGTGAAAACCTGCTCCTGTTGTTTTGGTGTCTTGAATTACTCCTTTGTAAATAGGGATGTCAGTAAGACTGAAATGCTTCAGAATGCTTTGGTTTGGTTACTTTTCACAGTCTCAGGGAGTGATCTCCCTTGCTGAAGTGAAATAGTCTGAGCTGTAGATGCAGCAGCATTACTTGATTTGGAAACTCATACACCTGAAAAGCGATGTTGTCCAGCTCTGGCAGTGCAAAAGCAGTATCCCATCGTGCAGTGAAATTGCCAGATAATGCTCTGTGACGTGGGCAAGTGATTTAGACCTTTCCTTCTTCCAAACAGCAGAGTTGGAGATCACTGCTTTGTGTAACATGTGAAACATCACATTAAAGACACTGGGGAAAGTGCCAGGCTGCTCTTTACCAGTGTCCAGCCTGCTTTGGTGTTGAGAGATTTCCTGATGGTTAAACAATGTGGGGTTTGATTGCTCTTTCACCTGCAGGCCGATTACATCTATTGTTTGTGGGCACTGGATGGGCAAAACTACCAGGGTGCTGGCCAGTACATACAGTCTGTTTGAGCTGATTTTGTCACAGAGCTGATTGTTCTTGGCTGACTCCCCTTTCTGGGAGGATTTGTAACTGTGGGCTAGGTGTTAGGAACATCTGGCTTTCACATAGGTGGTCTAGAGCTCCAGTGAGAAGCTTCGCTGCTTCATCTTTATTCCTGAGTGAAACTTTGCTGCTCTCATCTCAGGCCTTGGAAATTTCCTTTTACTTAACCAGAAACACTCTGAGACAGACACCATCACCAGTTTTGATGCATTGGTGACCTAACTGAGATGGTGTCACATTTGGGTGTGGTGCTAGTCTAGGATTGAGCTGGCTGATCATTGTATCTTCCTCTTAACGGTGCTTCAGGGTGCATTTGTGTCCCCCATCTCCCATTTGAGTGAGTAAGGGGTTGATCAGAACCACACTTGGAGTCTGGCTGAACTACTGGTACAAAGGGATAGTTCTAATCCTATTGCTAGACTGATTTCAGGTTATCATAGAATGGGTGAGCTGCCCAAGTAGTTATGGGGAAATAAAAATGAGTCTGAAATGTCAGAAAGGAGGCAAACAAATGCTTGTCAAACCAGTGTGAAGCAGGCACTGATTTTCAGCTGGGTTTCAGGTAAGCAGTACTGGAACAATAGAAAGCGGGAAGAATTGGCAGTGATTTAAAGCACACCACAGCTCTTAGTTGCTGATTTATGGCTTCTGTTTTTACATGTGTTTTGTTCTGTTTTCAGTCAAAACAGGAGAAGATGGCCTGCAGAGATAAGAGCATGCAGGATCGATTGAGGCTAGGTCACTTCACCACAGTGCGGCACGGGGCGTCTTTCACCGAGCAGTGGACAGATGGCTATGCCTTCCAGAACCTCATCAAGTGAGGACAGGCAGACTTGTCTTTAACTTCAGAGGCATAGACAGAAAAGCTAAGCAGTTGTGTGTGATGTCTTGCATGTCAAAATGTGAGAATGGTGTGACTGATTCATGAAAGGAACAGATAGGAACACAGCTACTGACAATGGGGAGTGTTTTGGCATTGAAGTGAGAAATGTGTTTTCACTTAAACCTCCAGAGACTTGGCCTGGAATCAGATGGTTTGAGCTGGCCTTTGGGTTGGAAAGGAGTAGGCTGCCCCATTGGGTATTCTCAGTGCACTTACCTGGCTGTGCAGTGCTTAGGGCACAGGAGTGGACTAAATACTCACATATATTGTGAGTCAATCAATTTGATTTGCATACTTGCATATATTAGCCAATGAAGGCTAATTAGCTTTTCTCTTTTTTTAAGTAGAAAGTAGAGAAGCTTAAAAGAGAAAATCCAAGCTACTAAACTTCTTTTGCCTCCTGGTAACAGTGATCAAAGGGGCTGCAGAAACCTGGAAATGAAGATCAGAGACCCTTTTATGCAGTATGTTAATGGAAATACCCACTCAATTCCCACCTGGCCTAGACCTTTAAGTAGGACTTGGCAAATTAATTGCATTAGAGAGAGCTATGTGTGATCTTTTAAAATCATATCCCTTCTCCAGAGTCTGATAGGGAGGTGCAGCTCTCGTTAGGTGCAGATTAAGGACTTCATAATTCTTCCTTAGGTTGTGCTGCAAGACATGGAAGAAATACTTCTGGCGTATTTACCTGCAGTCTCAGTCTCTTTAGAAAGTGCATTAAGTATGTAAATGCTCAAGTCATTTAGACTTGAAATGTCAAGAGTGCTTTTATCCCTGTAAAATGTTTTAAGATAGTCCTTTTATCTTGGAGGAGAGACTGTTTTCTCAGTGAAATTGGGAATGCTGTTTATGTTTTAGAGAGCTAAGGGTAGTTTAAGTGCACCCCTGAAGCAGAAGGATACTTTCTCAGACAGTGCCAGACTTAAGGAATACTTTAACAGGAAAGTCTGATATTTAGAACAGAGCCTTCTAGGAAAAAGCATGTGGAAAGTTAGTGCCTAACCATGGATCCCTGGCTTTTCCGTGAGGTTAGCCACTCTTGGGTTTGGATATCCTCGGCATGAATAAAACCTTTCACTTACTGAAAGGTTTCTGTGGGCCAGAAAAAGAATCCCCTTTTATGTAAAAATACCTTTAAAAATATGAGTCATGATGCTTGGCACATCCCCCTTCCCAGTACAAAAATATTTTGTTACTAATCTTACAAGTACAACTGATTGGGAAGTCATTGCTCCAATCTGTTCAGAACAGATGCTGAAGAACAACCAAGTACAGACCATTAGTTCTCTGCTTCATGGGTTTTTTCCTACTCTCTTCTTTCCAGACAACAGGAAAGGATAAATTCCCAGCGGGAAGAAATAGAAAGACAACGAAAAATGTTAGCAAAACGGAAGCCACCTGCAATGGGACAGACCCCTCCAGCCAGCAACGAGCAGAAGCAGCGCAAGAACAAGACCAATGGAGCAGAAAATGAAACGTAGGTTCCGTTGCTTTCTCTGTGCCTTGCAGAGCTGCATGCTTTGAGCAGAGCACAAACTCTCTCCTGGGAAATGGAGTCTTGCCCTTGCCTCTAGGCTTCACTCCATGCACAAATGAATATTGTGGAATTAGCCTGGCATTCAGCAACATCTGGCTGCAGTTCTAAATAGTTTTCATTGGAGTAAAACAGGGAGCATTGCTGAGGCCAGGCTTTTGAATGCAGTGCTTTTTCAGTGTTCCTGTTGCATCAAGTTGGGAAAGTGTTGCAACTCCAGAATGGATTTCAGTGTCACTGTATGATACGTGGTGCTTTTTTAAGGACACAAAATGAGGACCCATTTAGAAGCCTTTTTTTCTGTTTCATTTCTGGGGAGGCTTTTCAAACAAGTAATTGGGTATACTGAAGAAAATGATGCTCTCTCTAAAGACAGCGTGTTAAGCATTGTCCTCTATCTCCAAAGCTGTCCTTTCCATTTCCCTGACTCAAGTATCCGCAAAGGTAATTGAAGTGTTACTTCTTACAGAAGATTTCTACCCCCAAAACCTCTTTTTGAAGCGACTGATGCTCCAAGAGTCACAATGTTCTTGTGAGACAAAGCTTTTCTCTCCAAGAAATTGATACCATTAGTTCTTGGAAGTTTTTGTGGGGTGAGAATCCATTGAGTCAGAGATTTCCCACTACTTTCTACCAGTTTCCTTTACAATCTTCATTTTATTGCTGTTGGCTAATACTGTAACTCAGAATGACACTTTTCTTCTTGCACTGTGGCATCTCCTGGCCATGACTTGACCTCAGAGTTTCTGGAGGGGTTTGAATTCTTGGTCTTGGTTGAAGCAAAAAGCTCTCACTGCCTTTTGCAGTCACAGCAGAGATGATGCTTAACTGGGTGAATCCTGATATTCAGGGTGCTCTCAGCCCCAGATCAGGTGCTGGTTCCTGGAGATAGGTGTGTTGTACTGGAGGGCGCTGTGTGCTTTCCACAAGTGAGTGGCTTGAATAGAGACACTGAGCCCTCATTCTGGCTAAGAGAGCTTAAAAAGATCTAAATCAAGTTCTAAAGCCATCCTTTTCCATTGCAATTTGAGTTTGGAAAAGTAAATTGGATGCCAGTGCCTGGATATTTTGAAGTGGTGCTGTTCTTTGGGGTAATCTTTCACTTACAAAGGGTAGGATGAGGCTTTCCCTGTTTCTGTTGGGGCAGCTGTAATGTGGCATATTCTGAAGACATGGCAGCACAGATTCTGATGTGTGGAAATCGTGACAATGTGATACCAAGTGATCTTCTGCCTGTGTTGTGAGCCTGCCTTGGCACAAGATAGCTTTACCTGGGTTTGATAGAAGCCTTTTTGTACTCCTTCACTGATATAATCCAGGGTTTTATCATTGTGGTTTTGAAGAGCTTCTAGTGGTGGTGTTGAGAAAAACTGCTTGCCAGCATATGGATATGGTTCATGTGGAATGGTTTAGCTTATGGAAACATGGGTTTGCAGTTCAGCTGAAGCAACTGAACTGACTGACTACTTGCTTAAGCATAGTTAGTGTATAAATGCATTTGTTGGACTGCTGTGTGTCAGGTACAAAATGTTCTAGCTTTTGGAGGGAGTCTTCTAGGCAAGTTGAATCTAAGTGTTTCTGAAAGTTGAATGAGAAGCAGCCAGCCACATTCCTTCCTCTGATTTTTGGTTCTTCCTTGCTTCATGGTTGTTGCTGTGGCTGAAAAAGGAGAGGAAGTTCCCATGATGCAAATTCAAACACGTGCTCTCCTGAAACTGGTTTCTAGCGTCTGAATGGGAAAAAGATTTGCATGCAGGAGCAATAATCTGAGGCTGGGGCTTTTTGAGCTCTGTTAGGGCAGGTTGGGCACCCTTCGAATCCTCAGCTGCATTAGAACTGGTGTGTTTGTCTTAGAGCCTCCTTGATTCCTGCAGTGCTTGCTGCTACCAGGCAGCTATTTTGGGCACTGTTAGCCTGGTGGTACTCATTTACATCTCTTGCTCAACGAGTAGACTGTTGGTGTTCAGCCCTTTATTTCATTGTGCACAAGAACATGTGGGAAGCTTGCTGCTGATTGATTCAGCTGTCCTTTTATTCCTTTATGCAGCAACACCAACCAAAGACCTAAACTTCTGGGATGTTTCTTTTAGGTTAGCTGAAGTTGATTAAAGTTCAGGCTGTCAGGGGGGGATGAGGGGGGGGAGGGAGGGGGGATGCTTTCATATGAAGTGAGACAACATGTAAACATTTATGGTCCTGGCTGTCTTTTGTAGCTGTAATTTGTAATAAGCAGTTCCTTATGGTTGAGATTCTTTCAAAAGGAACTTGGCTTGCGACTTTTGGGATGAAATGCATCAGTTAACAGCTGCTTAAGCACTCACTGCAAATATGTGGACCCTTGGTGTTACCAACAGCAGAGAGAAGTTGGGGCATTTCAAGATGAGCATGTAGCTTAATGCTGCCTCCTCTTGATTCACTGCACAGTGAACCAAGGTCCCACAGCCCCATACGGACCTAAAACTCAGCTCCCTCTTGAAACTAGCTGTGGTGTTGATGCTCTGGAGACCACATACACTAGCCTTCATACTATACAGAGCATAACTATTGCAAGAGGAGTCCTGGGATAAGTTTTGACCTCAGTTTGGTTTCAAAAAGAACAGCTGTTTGCTGTCATGTGCATATTCTTGTTTACAAAAGGAACAGACACAGTTGATACGGGCTTCACAGCTTTATGGTCACGTGTTTGTTCTGCAGATTGTTAACTTTATCCCGTGTGTTGAAGCCTAATGCATTGGATCTGTCTCTTTTATGCAGGTTAACATTAGCAGAATACCATGAACAGGAAGAAATCTTCAAACTCCGTCTAGGTCACCTTAAAAAGGTAAGAACTATCTGCAGGAAAGGCTTTTAGGTGGGTTTTGATGCAGTGTTCTATGAACAATAGCATTTCTCTGATAATTGAGAGGGTTTTCTTGCTTGAAAGGGATGGCCATGGTTTTGTAATGATTTTTTTTTTCCAAGGCAGTGGTATTCAGGGAAGCTGTTCTGTGCTTTAATAGATTCCTGTGTTCTTACATACCATTTCATGCAGGGAGTTCCAATGTTTTGATGCATCTTATGCTGTCACTGTGACCTGCCTCGTGCTGGGCTCTCTGTGTGTCTAATATGGGGGAATAGGAATGAATGGATTAAGGGAAGAAAATGATGAGAACGCAACAAAAACTGCAATGATCACTGGCTTTCCCATTTCTTTGCAATATCAAGTAGCCAGCATCATCAGTAACAGCCCAATAAAACCTCTTGGGCTTTGGGAAACTAGGACTGTTTAGGTGGTTGTAGTGCATGTTTGTTTTCAGATACATTGGCTTCAGTAGGAACTGTACCTGCAGGTGAGGTTCTCTTTAAATAAGCTGTTGGTTACCTTGAAAGTGATTGCAATAACCTATAAATAAGTTTTCTGGGACACTTCAACAGATGAGGTACTGAAACAAAATAGATGCCTTCTGTGATTTCCTGTTTAACCATGATCTCTGCTGAGGCCCTAGAATTTTCTTTCCCATATGAAACAAAGAGGAAGGATGCAAACTCATTGCTGGAGTCCCCTTTCTTTTCTCAGGTGGTGCCTGAGCTTTCCACTTGACACCCAAGTTGAATGCAAGGCCTCATTAATGCTGCTGTGCTCCTTGTTATTTTCAGTGGCAAGGGAAAGTTAATGCACCCATGGAATCTTGCTGGCACTCTGCCCATTGTGTTTTACTGACCTGTGAACAAAGACAAGTGATATAGGCAGCAGCATGCTAAAGGCATGCTTGTTCTACAGCTTCCACATTGCTGGAGTGGATTAATTGCAGATCCGTCTATGCTGGTATGTCGTGTGCCACCCTAGAACAGAGGAATCCATTTGGAAATGGACCTTAATGGAAAATGAAGTAATGTTCTGGGATCGTGGCATTGTCTGAGGCTGTGCTTATCCTTCTCCACTTTTGGAAACTGGCTCATTCCTTATGCCTAAAAATAGATCCAGTTGAGAAGAGAAGGAACAGTCAGAAGACAAATGGGTAACTATGTCCCTTGAGGTATATATACCAAATAATACAGCTCAAGGCAAGTGTTTTAATTGAGGTTTGCAGCCCTGTCCATGGTGATGTGAATTTTAGTGTCATTGCACTAGAACTTCCAGCTTTACAAACAGGGTACCAAAACCTCCACGTGGCACTAAGTTACACTCTGACCTGTCCTACCCATCGCTGCTAATAGGACCCGATGTCCTTTCACATTCTCCATCCTTTCCGGATGCTGCCCCTTTCCCGTGTGGCATCATGACATCCTAGTTCCTTACTTCTGAGGGCCGTCTTCTATCTCCAATAACTTCTTCCCAAGTGGAATTACATCTGTGTTTCCATAAATGAGGCAGAAATGCTAACTGCATTGTCTTACACAGCGTTGTTTTCCTTTTGTTTTTCCTTGTGCAGGAAGAAGCAGAGATCCAGGCAGAGTTGGAACGGCTAGAGAGGGTTAGAAATCTACATATCAGGGAATTGAAAAGGATACATAATGAAGATAATTCACAGTAAGCACATGGGAACTGGGGACAAGAATGTAGAACAATTTCTGTCTTTGTCCGCTTCAAATGGGAAACAATCTGCTTGAAATTGATGTTGCAGCTTAGTATGGCACTTGACTAGGGGGTGGCATGGTGATCAACTTGAAGTTCATGTAAATCAAAGGCTTCCAAGGGCATCAAGGTGCCACTACATAGTTGTTTACCAGTAGAAAGTGATTACATCGCATCAGATCTGTCAGTTGTTAACACAGTTGTAATATTTCTCTGTCTTAATGTAAAAATGTTGTTTGTAAGCTGTGTAGTAGCTAACCTGTTGTGAGCAGATCCCATTAGTTCTGTCAGTGCTCTTAAACTGTGTCTTTCTCGCCAGATTTAAAGACCATCCAACGCTAAATGATAGATACTTGTTGCTACATCTTCTGGGTAGAGGCGGCTTCAGTGAAGTATATAAGGTAAATGTGAAGTGGCAGTGTGTGCTGTAATCTCAATCTGCAGGGAAGCAGTGCAGTAAGCAGCATTTTGTGCCTGTTTTCTCAATGGTGTGTGCTTGTAGAGGGAAGAAGGGAGGATGAAGCACATGTTGCATCTGGCTTGTATTAGATAGCAGGCTTGAGATTTTTAGGTCCTGCTCCTGTCCTCAGGCTTCAAGAAAACACTGCACCAAGTTGGCAAGTTTTATCAGGTCAGAACAGTAAACCACTTGAAGAGACAAGCGCTACACGCCAGTATACCCAAAGTGGCCGTGTTCTGTTGAGTATGGCATAGCAAGCCAGAACCTCACTGTAAATGACAGAAAATAGCTCCAGTAATAAGAGCAAAGGCTGCATTTCCTGGGGGTAGAAGCCTTGCTTCCCTTGTGTCTTCATTTACACTCTGAAGTAGCAGACCGGGGAGGTGTGTTTAGTCTTGGGATTTCCTTGGAAGTGTGTCAGCACTCTTGCACGGCCAAGGCCTGTGATGCTTTGGTGCTTCCTATTTGACTGTTATGTTTAGAGCCCTTCCAGTTCAGAATATTCCCTGTATCTGTCCTCAGTAGTTTTTAATCCATGTGGAATTGGCTAGACTTAAAAGAATTATGCCAATGCAAAAATTGGAAACTTGAGGGAGATCTATTATCTTGATGCAGTACAACAATAGGTCTCTAAACTAGGGAGGGTGGGACTACTTAGGTAGTGAAAAAGAGAGTGTGAGATGTGCTCTGAATTGCTGCCTTGGCTGACTGAACAGAAAGCCTTGGCTCCACAGCTGAAAGCAAGAGGGTATGAATGCTTCAAAACTGACTGTGCTCAAGAGTTGTAACTATGGTATTGAAACAAAGGGATGCTTAGCCCTTCTTCTCCAGACTCTTCGCCAATCTATTAAGCATAAGGAATTAAGTATAGAACTTGTAAGATGGACACAGATTATCCTCTGCTTACAACAAGATTTTGCCCCATGCTATAATTACTAGCTGTTGCTGCTCTCAGACAAGGTAAAAGCATTTCTCCAAGAGCACAATTCCAGAGATCCATTCTTTAAAGACTGTTTAAACAGCAAGAAACTAGAGGGGAAAATAACAGCACAAGATTTATGCAGTGATGCCACTGAATTCTCCAGTTTCTAATTAAGATGAAACATGCTGCAAGACCGAGAGCTGAGCTACCAGTGTGGAACAAAGTATTGGTTTGGGGTTGTTTTAACTGAGTGTAGAAAATGAGTTAGGGGGAATAACGGCAGAGCCTTTTCCTGTTTGATGAACTGTCTATATTTTGGTAATTTGGCTTTTCTGGTCCCATTGTAGCTCTGGTGGTGGTAAAATGTCAGTATAAATGCAGCATTAATTCGATCCCATGGGGAAGGTCAGATCAAAGCAAGGCATATTCAATTGTTTTCAGAGTTGCTTGGTTTCATTAGTGAAACTAATTACATCAAAATGTGGGTTTGCTCCTCACTTGGTATGTCGTAATGCTGATTTCCTGGGTGGGGATATTGGTTTGTTAGAGCTTGTCTGCTTTTGCAGTATTAACTTGAAGTTGTGATTCCTACTGATTTGCAGCTCTTCTCTCTGCAGGCATTTGATTTAACAGAACAGAGATACGTAGCTGTGAAAATACACCAGTTAAATAAAAACTGGAGAGATGAGAAGAAAGAAAATTATCACAAGTAAGTAAGGCTGTAAAGTGTTTCCAGGCTCCTCCTGCATTGGGTGTCTAGTAACAGGCTGCCATTTCTTAGCTGTGTTCTGCCACACTTCAAAGTCCACTCTCTGTCTCAGTAGCTACTTGGAAAAGTTGCGGTCAGATTAGGAATTGTGGAATGGTTTAAGTTGGAAAGGGCCTTAAAGCTCACCCAGTTTCACAACCCCTGCCACGGGCAGGGACCCCTTCCACTGGAGCAGCTTGCTCCAAGCCCCTGTGTCCAACCTGGCCTTGAACACTGCCAGGGATGGGGCAACCACAGCTTCTCTGGGCACCCTATGCCAGTGCCTCAGCACCCTCACGAGGAAGAACCTGTGCCTAATACCTAATCTAATGTTTAAAGTGTGCACACACACAGACAGTGTTCTATATGCACCAGGTTTCAAAGCACCAGTAGTGCTCTGTGAAGAAAGCGTTAAAGTGGCTTCTCCCCTTTGAAATGTCTAAGCTCTGCTCTTATGGGAAGCAGTTGTTCATTCTCATCTTCCAGATACACACCTGCAGCTGTGCTCTCTCAAAGTCTTCCCCTTCCCTGAATACTAAACCTTTCACAGATGCTTAGGACTACACATGTCATGCCCTAGAAGGGAAGTACAGGAAGTGTTTTGGTGTTGGTTACACTTGCTCCCTAAGGCCATGGGTTTGCTAAGCTCTGCAGACTGGCAGCCAAGCCTTCTCCACAGAGCTTCAAAGCTGTGATCTTTATTCCCCAGCAAGTCACTGGGAGAAACTTAAGCTGAATGTTGGGCAGTTGAGCATCATGGAATTCTTCTAGAACTTGCTGAGTTTTGTGTTCTATCTTGGATCACTGTCTTGGATCCCTTCACAATTAATTATGAGGTTATTCTATTTTGGCAAGCAATACCATTAATCAAGATTAGTTATTTTGTAGCATGGCCAGCATTTGAGACGCGCTCCGATTCTGTGGTTCTTAACACAGTTCCTTGTTTGCTGTCTGATTAATAGGCATGGGTTGGACTGAAGTTGGACTGCTGTGTGGTATGTCTGGGTTCGCTATCTGCAGAACTAAGTCACTTGTATGACTAATGCTCAGACTTTCCTTTTCACAGACATGCGTGTAGAGAGTACAGAATTCACAAAGAACTGGATCACCCTCGAATAGTTAAGCTATATGACTACTTTTCGCTGGATACTGACTCGTAAGTTATGTTACTGTGTCCTTTGTCTTGGTTTGATGGATTCACTGCCAACTATTTGGTCTCTTAAAACTTCCAAGGAGAGTCCAGAGAATGTCCATGCCAGCGTTACAGACTGTACTGCAGATATCTGAGGCAGTTTGAACACATTTGGGTTTTCTAGTACTGCATTATGTCAGATGTGGTGCTTTACTAGTAGATCCTGTGTTTGGTTGGCTTGGGCAAATGCTGCAGCTTCTGGATCCAGCACTTAATGGGGGATCTCTGATCTTTGTACTGTTGAATGCTGAGGGCTGCATCCCTGGTAGCTGATCTTTAGAAAGGGATTAATAGACTGAATGAAGACTAATATATGAATAAATAAACGAATTTGGTTTCTCTTGGGTGCCTGAATTACAACAACTCCTGTTTTGCCTTCAGGTTTTGTACGGTGTTAGAATACTGTGAGGGGAATGATCTGGACTTCTACCTGAAACAGCACAAGTTAATGTCAGAGAAAGAGGCACGATCTATTATCATGCAGATTGTGAATGCTTTAAAATACTTAAATGAAATCAAACCTCCCATCATACACTATGACCTTAAACCAGGTATGTTGTGCTGCTGCCTGACGTGTTTATGGACGTAACTAAAGGTAAGGGGTTGTAAGTAACGTGGGGAAGTTTACTTTGGTCAGATGGCAGAAAGCAGACAGGACTGTCTGGGAAAACTAACTTGAAACCAGAGAAAAACCCTAAAATGCATAGAACATGCTGTGAAAAGGGCATTGTCTCCCAGAATTGCAACATAGAACAGGGAAGTAACATTCCAGGAAAAGTAGCCTCCTTGCTCAGAATGAGCCCTTGAAACCACCAAGTGTCTGTGTTTGGTCTCTTAATGTCCCACTTGTATTCTGCTGTTGAGAGCTTCTGTTATTGCTTCATAAAGGTTCCCATAATTACTACTGTGTTTCATGCTCCCCTTCTTCTGGCTTATTCTTTCTGTAATCATCTGCCTGAAAACTCGGTGGCAGAAGCTAACTTGGAAGTGTTCATTTTTTGCATCGTGTGGCAGCTCACAAAGCTCAGGTCTGCCTTTGAGTTCAGTGACATCTGCCATATAGAAGGTCCTCTTCAGATTGCAGATTTCCCTTTGCCACTGGGCAAAATGAGAAGGGGAAAAGTGGAAGTGTGCCTATGTAGGGTGATGGATATTGCCTACGTAGCATTTTCTCCTAGTCCCGTAAAATTCAGCCATCTCTTTGGACAGTTATCCCTGGCTCGTCTCCCTGTGCTGGTGGCACTTCATCAGCATTGTGTAACTGGTGTCTGATGTGGTTTATTGCATCAGCATGAGGAATCTGTACGGGAGGTGGTGCTGTTGCACTGGTTCTAGTGACCCTGTTACTTCCCCCCTCTCCCCAGATGCCTGTTCTCCTGTTGTCTGAGCATGCTGCAGAGCTCTGCCTACAGTTTGTCTAAAGCTCTGCTTCATCCACTGCCATCATGCACAGTTCTTCTGCTTTATTGTAGGTTTTGAGAGAAACAGTGATGATCAGACTTTTTATCCTTGATGGATTTGTAAGACTCTTGCCTAAGCAGTAATTGTCCTTTCTGAGCTTAGAAAGCCATTGGGGAATGCTGCCAGGAAGGAGAGAGTTTCTGGCTTGCTGAGAGACCAGGGCAAGTCAGGACTTCTGGGCAGAATGAGTCATTACTGTGTATGTGTACTTCTCTCCTTAATCCTCCTTTTTGACCTGCCCTTCCAAGGGGACCTTTGGGAGGGGTCAAAACAGACATGAAGCTCATTTGGCTAATAGGGTTCAGAATCTGGAGGCTCCAAGTAATGTCAGGCCACAGGGTGTTTCAGGGATGGGCAGATCAGTTCCAGCACTTGATGGGAGCTGAGCTGTATGTGGAGCTTGGGGTACTGAGTGCTAAAACATCTTGTGCAGAGTGCCAGAGTTCAGTGTGATTTTACTCTTGCTTTATTTTCCTGCTAGATGGGTATCCTGAAGGGTTCTTTCTTCCCTGTTTAGGTAACATTCTTCTAGTCAATGGTACCGCATGTGGAGAGATAAAAATCACAGATTTTGGGCTTTCCAAAATCATGGATGATGACAGCTACAACTCTGTTGATGGTATGGAACTGACATCGCAGGGAGCCGGTACTTACTGGTAAGCATTGCCTGGGGCACTTGCAAGTTACAGACCAAGAATGGTTTATAAACAGCTTTGGATTTCTGTCAGCTCTCTGTGTGCTGCTGTTGTCTGTAACAGATTGAGACACTGGAGGTTTGAGACCCTAGAAACTGCTCTTGTTGTCACACAGCTCCTTTTGAGGCTAGCAGCTTTTTACATTACAGTGGGTTAGTGTTTGTACATTTGAACACCATTTCTTATCCAAAGGGCCTGGTGAAATACTGCATATGTTTCTGAGATAGCAAGCTCCGGAGTGGAGCTTGGCTGCTGTTTCACAGTCCATAATGGCGTTGTCTAACAGTTTAAGCAAGGAGGAGAAGAATAGCATGCCTATTGGAAATACAGGTACATTAGGAGATGGAAGGAGTATTCCACTGCAATGAGGCTGTGAAAACCCATAGTTAGCTCTTACTAAAAATCTCACAGGGCTGTCTATAGCCAGAGCTTCCCTTTCAAGCATCACATAAAAGATGTTTTCAGCAGTACTTTATCAGTACAAATGTTGTCACTGCACTGAGAGCAAGGCCTATAGTGAGTGCCACTGATTCTGATTCTTAGCCGTTACCCAAGCTGCAGACTGTCACTATGGGCAACAGTTGTACAGCAGCGTTTGTTAAGGTATTCTGTATCATACAGCTTTGTTCTGTTCCTGAAGATGGAGCTAACTAGTATGAGCAAGGCAGGGTGTCTCTAAGTCGGATGTGGCATCTGGGCTTGTATTCCTAGAAAGATGTATTTTGGCTGGAATTGTTGGCTAAGTCCTTCTAACAACAAATACCAGTTCTGAAGGTAAAAGAAAATGGGGCTGTTTCATTTGCTGACCAGCTCTTACCACAAGTGTCCAAAGAGTCCTTGGGAATCACTGTTCCCAGAAGGGATATGCCCTGGTGATCTTGGCCCAGAGAAACACAGGAGTGAAAATTGAGTCCCTCAAGTCCTGATCTCAGAAGCTTGTTCCTTCCTTTCTAAAGACATTGATTGAAGGTGTTTGGAGATGCTGCTTACAACCTGTTGTCCCTTCCTTCTAATCAGGTATTTGCCACCAGAATGTTTTGTGGTTGGGAAAGAACCTCCAAAGATTTCAAATAAAGTTGATGTCTGGTCAGTGGGAGTCATCTTCTATCAGTGTCTCTATGGCAGAAAGGTAAGAAAGCATTTAATTCCCCTCTTATTGGTAATTTCCAAACCTTTTGGGAGGCAGCCCTGGTTTCTGCTTCCTTCTTCTCCTCAGACTTAAAAGGTGCTTTTGTCTTGTCTCCTTCCAAGGTAATAAAGGGGAGAGGATTTACTAGGTTGTGTTTTGCTCTACATAGCACTTCCTTCAGAAGCAGTGTTCTGCAGAGCATCTCTTTCCACTGGGCTTGTTCCCACTGAGGCCATTATGGGCAGGACAAGTGTATCATTCAGAGCCAGACACCTGAAGTTTTTTGTCTGGCATTGGTTTGTGATGTTTTCAGTGCACTAAGTCTTTGTGAAGCCTGATACTGCTTGATGGCTTCAGGTGTTATAGGAAAAAAATAACAGTAGGTACAAAGACTCACTCTAGAAGATCTTTAGGATGGGTTTTGAAAGGGAAGAGTCTGGATCAGGTCCTGAGAAAAGGTAATTTGGTTTATGGCAACAAAAGATACAGGTTGGAGAAGGGTTCCATTAACCCTTGTTTTCACAAGTCCTTGGTAACCAAGGGTTGTGAAAGCCTGACCCACGAATGTGCTATGCTGCTTCATGTTGTCAGTCACACAAATGGTGGAACCAGCCCAGCGAAGACTGAAGTGGGTGAGTCTCCTCACTTAGCTTAGATAGATGAGGGTCCTCTTGCATGTGAGAAGGAAGCTGACCTGTGAGGCCTGGAAGCAGGTGGAAATCTGTCTGAGCCAGAGATACCCCAGATGTGTTCCAGCTTGGCCCTGTTGTTCAGTTGAAGCACAGGAGCAATGTGTCCTGCTCACCTGGGTGCAGTCTGCAGCACCTTCACAGCATTCATGGGCTTCTTGCTCAGGAAAGTGCTGATGTCAAGCTGATGAGCAGTAGTATCTGGTTTTTAAGGCTTGTAATCAACCTTTTAACAACTGTCTTCCATGTTTTCTTGGTAGCCCTTCGGTCACAACCAGTCACAACAAGACATTCTGCAGGAGAACACAATTCTGAAAGCTACTGAGGTGCAGTTCCCTCCAAAGCCAGTAGTCACACCAGAAGCAAAGGTAAAGCTGTGTATGTCAGTGATCAGCACTGGCAGCTCCATCCTCTTGGTCTCCCTAAACTAGCAGGAGCTCTGTTTAATGCTTGCCTTGAGTAGAGTGGTCAGTGGCTTTGCATTGTCATAGATGTCAGGCTGGGGATCACAGAATCGTAGAATGGTTTGGGTTGGAAAGCACCTCAAGATCATCCAGTTCCAGTCCTCTAGCACAAGACCAGGTTGCTCCAAGCCCCTGTGTCCAACCTGGCCTTGGGATGGGGCAGCCACAGCTCTGGGCACCCTGTACCAGCGCCTCAGCACCCTCACAGGGAAGAACTTGTGCCTTGTATCTAACCTGAACTTCCCCTGTTTAAATTTGACTCCATCACCTCTTGTCCTGTCCCTGCAGTCCCCTGATGAAGAGCCCTTCTCCAGCATCCTTGTAGCCCCATTCAGAACAGGAAGGCTGCTCTGAGGTCTTGACACAGCTTCTCCTCACAGCCCCATTTTTCACAGCCCATCTTTGTATGGGAAGTGCTCCAAGGTCCCTTTCATCCTCATGGCCTCCTCCGGACTTGTTCTAACATCTCCATGTCCTCCTTTTATTGGAGACACCAGAACCATACACAGTTCTGAACAGTTGAACAGTGCAGTGTGTGCCTCTGCCCATGCTTCCTTGTAAAAGATGAGCTTCTGGTGCAGGAGGTAGGCTGTCTCTGTGGTCACTGGTGAAGGGATTTCAGGGTGCTGGCGTTGTCAGACTGGCCCTGCTCCCAAAAGTGTGACCTGACAGAGAAGGCTTCCTGTTTGTGTTCCATCTACTAATTCTTGCTTTGCCTTTGGGGTGTCTGCAGGCATTTATCAGACGCTGTTTGGCCTACCGAAAGGAGGACCGGATAGATGTCCAGCAGCTGGCCTGTGACCCGTACTTGCTGCCTCACATCCGCAAATCTGTATCCACAAGCAGCCCAGCTGGAGCTGCAATTGCATCAACCTCTGGATCATCCAATAACAGCTCTTCAAACTGAGACAGAGGAATAGGCCAAAAACAAACTGCTTGAGAAATGGGCAAAAAAGACTTGGAGAAACAGCTTTGGAATAAAGGAATCTGCAAGGGTCTCAAGATACCTGTACCAGGTGCTTTTTTTCTCTTGCTTTTTTCCATCCATAGAGCATGACAACATCAACTCTCATCAAGAAAACCTTCGGCATCTAGGCCAAGCCATGTGGATAGGAGATGGCTTGAGGTTTATCCAGTAAATGACCACAAAAGGGTGGCTGCTCTGAGCAAGGAGGGGAAACTCAAGAACGTACAAACGACAAAGACGTGGTTCCATGTACTGTGAACTTCTGAACATGCAGCCTTGGGGAATCCAGGACGCCGTGTGTGCTTCATATGAAGAATGTGGACTTTGGAAAAAGACTGGGCTAGTCCAGTGTTGATATTTAAACATTGTTCTTTTTCTTTTAATAAAGTTTAGGTAACATCTCCTGAAAAGCTCGAAGCACCAAGGTTCAGCTGGGGATGGTATATGACTCTTTGCCCTTTGGAGGGGAAAAAAGTTGATCCTGCCTGTTCATGGCACTAGAGTTAGTGTTTTACCCCTAATTAATTTCAATTTTTAAAAAAGAAAACGAAAAAAATAACATTTTTTTGGAAGAAAACAGTTTTCTGGTCTCAAAGTGAAACCCGTATTAGCAGGCTCATGGCAGTGCCCGCGCTGCAGATGGTGCAGCTTTCTGCTCCCTTGGGATGAGGGCAGCGAAGCTCACAGGACATGAGGCCCTGTGTTGCTCTCCTGGGATCAGAGTGGATCATGGCTCATCTGCCACAAGGTTTTCAGCTGCTGCTTCACAGCTCTCACAACGGTTGCTCCTTTTTGACTTACTCAAGTGCTGTTCTTTTTGCAAACCCCTGACATGCCCAGGACGTGCTCCCTGCTCTCGTGAGCATGAGCCTTGTTGACTGGTGAAAAGGCAGGCAGTGGACAGGAAGGAATGGGAGCACAGCTCAGTGACCACAGGTATGATCCGTGCTCACACAGTACTTTGCATAGTCTTGTCCATGTTATACAAACCCCAAGCTGAAGCTTTATCTCGGCTCAGTGAGGTGACTTGGCAGCAACGCTTCCTCTCTTCCTTAACGCTTCCCTTTTAAAACTTGCTGACTTTCCTAACTCGCTGCCCATTTCAAATGAGAGGGAATGAGAGAAAGCTCTTGAAGGGAGCAGACACCTTAAGTATTGCTCTTGGCTCCCTTCTGTAACCTGCCTAGCGGGGTCTTACCCCTTCAGCTGGAGCCTGCCTGCTGTGAACACAAGCCTCTTGTCCCCACTCTGCCCCTTTCACCACCCCCATCGAAGGAAGACTGAAAACACACACAAAAAGCACCGCACTTGAACATGTGGCAGCCAGGTTGGAGCGCTCTGAACATGTGGCAGGAGCTCAGAGCCAGAACCATTTAAAGATGCAGTGTTGGAGAGCGGGGTTTGTGGTGGAGGGAGCAGAGCGGTGCACTACTGCAGTTCAGGGTGGTGGTTAAAACCCAAATCACCCTGCGCACATATAACCTAATACCCTGACCACCGTGGGGTGGACTGTGCTCTACAGCACCTCCAGGGTTGTCCCCACAGCTCCAGCAACATGTGAGCTGTTTGGGACCCTTGGTGTTCAAGTGGTGGTATTGTGGCAAGTGATGCTCTCCATCATGCCCTTCCAGAGAGCTGCTGCTTGCCTGCCGTACTGTAAGCCATTGTCTGCAAATATTATGCTTAAACCTTGATCAGGAACTTTTAGTTAACTGAAAAGCAGAGGAGTCTGTTGGAATTAAGCAACGGACCTGGGAAGCGGTGAGAACTCCGCTGCTTTCGTTTTTGTTACTCTTTTTTGTAGTGACTCTTGGGCTTTCAATTGGATGCTCTTCACTTGCAGCTGCATCAAGGTGGTCTCTAAACTGTCGTGTTTTCAACAAAGAAATACTGCATCTTTAAATCCTCAGCTGTAATTTCTTAGCCCTTTCCATCCCTGCTGCTGTGTTGCAGAAGTTAACTGTTTAGCAAGCAGCACTTTGACATGTCTGTGGCAGGCAGAATCAGGGTTGATGCTTCACCCCGTTTGCTGGAACTGATGATTTGGTGTCTGTCCACATCAGGGAGGATTCTACAAGGGTTTTTCTGTCCCAGCCCTGTTGTTCCAGGGACATGCAGTGTGTGCTGTCCCTGTGCGTGTGATGAGCTCTGTGTCAGAAGCATTTCTTCCTGCTGTGCAACACCCACCCAGGGGCCTGGGGACAGCGTTGGCCTCTCCTGGGGCTGGCAGTGGTGAAGAACCCTGGTAGAATTGTGCCTGTGACACCTGCCTTGTTAATATGGGTTTCACTTCCAATAACAGACCCTGTTGCCACACTGTTCATTTACTTCAAGGAAAGTGTATGAAGAATTTGTAACTTAAACCAGGCCAGACTGTTTTGGCTCTACCCAACAGATGAGACATGGATATTAAAATAAGTTTTAAGAAACCCATTTGCTTGGCTCTTACTCTTTTGCTCTTCCTAGCGTTGGCAGGAGCTCTCTTGCAGTGGCTGCGTGGAGGTGACATGGGGCAGGATGAGGAAGGCTGCACATAAAGCTCGAAGCAGTGGGATCCCTGCAGTGGAGTGGGGAATCACACATTCACTGGTGTTGATCTTGGTCTGGAACACTGAGACAGGTGTCGGAGGTGGGTTTGTCCTTCATTTCCCATAGAGTAGTAGCTACCCTTAGAAGCTCTGTGTGTTCAGGACACAAAATCAGGGATGGGGCAGCCACAGCTTCTCTGGGCACCCTGTGCCAGCGCCTCAGCACCCTCACAGGGAAGAGCTTCTGCCTAAGAGCTCAGCTCAGTCTCCCCTCTGGCAGGTTCAAGCCATTCCCCTTGGCCTGTCCCTACAGGCCCTTGTCCCAAGCCCCTCTCCAGGTTTCCTGCAGCCCCTTTAGGCACTGGAGCTGCTCTAAGGTCTCCCCTTCAGGAGCCTTCTCTTCTCCAGGCTGCCCCAGCCCAGCTCTCTCAGCCTGGCTCCAGAGCAGAGCTGCTCCAGCCCTTGCAGCATCTCTATGGCCTCCTCTGGCCTCGCTCCAGCAGCTCCACGTCCCCCTTGTGCTGCTGACCCAGAGCTGGATCAGGGCTGCAGGGGGGGTCTCCCCAGAGCACAGCAGAGGGGCAGGATCCCCTCTCTCGACTGCTGCTCACGCTCTGGGGGTGCACCCAGCACACGGGGGGGTTCTGGGTTCCAGCGCTCACTGAAGCTGGCTCTTGGGGAGCTTCTCATTGACCAAAACCCCCAAGCCCTTCTCAGGCTGCTCCATCCGGTCTCCCCCAGCCTGTGCTTGCGCCTGGGGTTGCACCCACCCAGGTTTAGGTCTTTGCACTTGGCCTCGTTGAACTTGAAGTTCTCATGGGCGCACGTCTCCAGCCTGCCTTACACAAATACACAAGAGAAGGCACAAAAGGACCTTGGCAGATGTGGAGGCTGCTCACCTCTGGGCTAATAATTGAGAGCACCAGTCCCTGCCCAGCTCCTCCACTGGCACATCACACCTTCTATGCAGGACATCCCAATGTGAAGCAGGGCCATCCCTGCCCCTGGAGCCTGGTTCTTCCAGAGGGGGATCAGGGATCAGCAAACCTGACATCAGCCTCTCTGTGCTTCAAGTCAGCCTTGGGCGAGTGAAACCAAACACTGAGAGCAGCTCAGCTCTCTCCCTGCTCCTGCAAGTGATTATCTCACATCCCCCTGTGCCAGTGCTGATGATGGGACACAGACTGGAGCAGGAGGAGACGGCGGCAGTGGGTGCACAAGGGTCCCGAGGTGATGGCCAGGCTTTGGGACCAGATTCCACATTCGAGGCATGCCCCGGATCAGGGATGTGCGTGGGATCACACACTCAGCTCGATGCCAGCAGGAGGGAGACTGGCTGAGGGGCTGCCTGGAGGGATGCTTCGCCTACTGCGTTAGCGGTTGGAGTCACGCTATGAAATGAGTTTCCTGCTGCCAAATGGGGCAGGCCCGATTTGCTTTGTGACCTGGCAAAGCCTCCCCGTGAGGTTTTGGTGCCGCTGCCAGCATCTCCCTGGGGTGTGCTGCTGGAGGATGCTATTTTCTGAGTGCTACACAAGTAAGCCTGGACTGAAACCCTCCAGCACTGAGAGGAAGAGGAGGCTCGCAGCATGTGGAAGTGAGACCCAGCACAGCCTTGACTCCATCCATCCCGGAGATGCCTTTTCCTACTAAATGCTGATGACTCCATGCACCAGGACCCTGAACTCCCACTGCCTCACGTGGCTCTGCTTCACCCTGGCCCCAGCAGTGCTCTTGGGGGCAACCGGGTGCTGTCAGCCTGGGAGGGGGTGAGAGGCCAAGCAAACACAGCTTCCCCTCGCCACGCTCGCACCCAGGAACTGGTATCTTGGCCACAAGGATCCCATTGTCTGTGCCGGGTGGGGAAGCAGGAGGCAGGACCGGGGCTGAGACACTCGTTTCATGCATTAGCTGCATGAGGGCTCAAAGGATGGGAAAAGCCACCAGGACGTGCTGTTGGTGAGGAGCTGCACGCTCCTCTGTGCTCCTCTTCACTCCCAGCCTTTCTTCCTACACCCTTCAGCTGCAGCTCAGTGTTTCCACTGCTCTGTGGCTCCTCATTTCCAAATGCTGTTGGCTGGTGGGGCAGTGCTTCGGGCTGGTCCAGTATAGCCTGAAAGCAGGTAAACCACCACCTGCCCCACCAGTGCTGGATGAGCCTCACCAGGCAGCCCTGGCCCTGCTCTGCCGTCTCCTGCAGGAATGGGGCAGGGCAGTGCAATGGTCCAGCTGCATCCAAAGGCATGGGATGGAGCTAAGAATGCAGGGATGCTGTAAGGAACAGCAGGGTAGGGATGGGGAGAGTAGAAGCCAGATCTCCCATCCCCATTCGAGCAGCTACAGGGAACGCAGGCAGCAGGGCTAGGAAGGGCTTGGCTCTGGTTTGCATTCATGGGAAGAAGAAACCCAGAGCTCTGCTCAGCCCTGTCCTCTCTTGACCGAAGCCGCTGCAGCGCGGGAGCCACGAGCTGCCGTGTCCACAGCATCCTCCTTGCTCTTGGCCTGGCTGAGCTCTGCAGTGCGATGAGGGCTCAAAACCTGCTTTGTTCAGCACTGGCTCATCCCGGCTCCGGCTGATCCTGAAAATCCACCCGCTCACACCCAGCCCCAGGAGAGCGGCTGGGATCGGTGCCACAACCCCTCCACACTGAACGGAATGGCAGGGATGGAGGTGGAAGGGGATGCGCCTGTGGCTGTGAGGTGAGGCGGCAGCAGAGGTGGAAGTGATGAAACTGGGACCCACTGGACCACGCTGCTCCTGTAGGCCAGGGTGGGATCTCCACTTCCCACTCCCATCCCCACTTCCGGAATGAGGAAGATGCCATTCGGAATGTGCTGTCCTTTCGCTGCTCTCCAGCTGCTTTCCTTGAGTCATGGGGGGAAAGTGCTGTCCTCAAAGCAGATTCCTTGCACGGGGCTGGAATTCCTTCGCCCAGGAGCAGTGGGGAGGAGGCAGAGGCAGCGGCTGGGCTCGGGGGGGGGCAGCTGCTCCTTGGGCAGCCCCCAGCAGCGGAAGGGCAGGATTGAGCCCTCGGATTCCTCGTGGCAGCTCTGAGCGAGCACATCTGGTTTCAATAGCTGAGCCGCGGCTTGAACTCGCCTGACTCTAGAAGGGCTGCAGGAAAAGAGCGGCCAAAGAGCTCCAAAAGCTGCAGCGAGGGGCGCCCACAAAGGGACCCCCTTTGCTGTGTGGGGAGAGAGCAGAGTTGAGGACGGTCTGGGGCTGCCCCAAGGTTCCAGCGGCTGGCAAAGCCCCGTGGGCTCCCTGCAAGAGCCGAGGGAATGGCTTGGAAGAGCAGGGAAACGGCCCTTCTTTATGGCCAGGATGATTCTATCCCCAGCTGGGTGTCAGTAAAGCTGGGGCTGATCTTCAACACTGTGCTTAGGGGAGGAGCACGGGGAGCAAACTGCATTACAGCCCCCCCCAGTGCCCCCAGCAGCGAGACCCCTCTCCCAGCACCAAACCCTTGGGAGCATCAGCATCCTCATGCTGGGACCATGGAGGAGCTGAGCCCCCCCTCAGCATCCCAGGCTCATCCCTGGGAGGAAAGGCTGCAAAAGCAAACGGGGGTGACCCCCGCTGCACTGGGGATGCCTCAAGCCCCGCATCCCAGTGAGGAGGGGGATGCTCAGCGGGGGGAAGCTGTGTCCTGGCTGCCCCCCGCCTGCCTCTGATGAGGGGAGAGCGACGTGGCCTTCGCCTGCTGCCGGCGCGGGGGCGAGGAGCCAGCAGACGCCAGGACGGCCTCTTCCCTGAGCAGTGAGCTCAGCGCCGCGCCTGCCAAGGGGGTGTTGGTCTTGGCCCGGAGCGTCCCGTCCGGGGGCCAGGATGAGGCCGGGGCGGTGCGGATGGAGGGATGAGCTCGCAGCGGGGCCTGGCAGGTGCTGCTGGTCCCCAAAGCCCAGGGCACTGCTGCGCTCCCGGAGCCTGTGGAGAGCAAAGGATGGGGGGAACACGCATGGAAGAGCACGATCGAGCAGGATATGCAGCCCCCCCATGTCATATAATGCACCCACATGTCCTCCCCAGGCTCTGAAGCCGGGCATCAGAGGTTGCTGATGGGTTGGTGCAGATCCTTCCTTCAAAGCATTGAGTCTGGGGGTATGGGCACTGCTCTTGTGCCCCACAGGTCCCCAGATCCTGTCCTCTAATGCCTCTGGCACAAGCTCCATACCAGCCCCAACCTTGGTAACGCACAGGGCCATAGACTCATAGATAGGTTTGGGTTGGAAAGGACCTTAAAATCATCTGGTTCCAATCCCCCTGCCACTGGCAGAACACCCATGGAGCAGCTCAGGGTTTCCCTTCGCATCCCTCAAGGCTTGGTCCCACAGCCCATTAATGGCACTGATTTGCCAGCCTGTGGAAGCTGAGCATCCCGACTGCTGCTGCTCCTGACCGGGGCAGACCTGCAGCCAGAGGTGGGCGAGTGCCACGGATCCATCCCTGGGAGTGTTTTCCAACCCCAGAAGCATTTACTTTCCCAACTAAGGGGACGGACACAGATCCCACTCTGGCTGCAGGGACCGGGCACAGACGCTGCATGTCCCAAGTGCTGGGTAACCCCGGGATGAGCTCGTAGCTCCCATCCATTGTCCTGGACAAGGCGCAATCCCAGTGCTGCTGTCGCCTGTCCCCTGCACACAGCCACATCCCCTCAATCTGGCAGCAATTCCTTAGTGCCGGAGAGGTCAGACAGCTTGGAATGCTCCCAGGGGAAGGGAAAAATGCATTTCCTCCCGATCCACTCCAACGAGTAACAACTCAACTGGTACTAAACTGGATTAGGAGGTGAGGAGCTGTTGGCCTGAGTTGGAGGAATTAATGATTAGGAAGTGCTAATTAGCTTCTAATCACACCCAAGACATGGGATGGACCAGGCGAGGAGGTAGGGATGCTCTGAA